AGCACACACTGGATGCTATAATAAAAAATAAAATCATTTTAAGCTGGAGAAATTGCTTCCAGCATGAAAGCATAAGAAGGAAACCTGCAGGAGATGGAGCTTTTGGAGTTAGGGATTAAAAATCATCTGTAATTTGTCTTGCTTGAGGAATTGCAGGGATCCATGGACAGTGCCAGTGCCAAGAGCAGCTGCCCTTGGACTGGGCTTAGCAGGGAGTCTGTTGGTGCTGCTGATGGCTGGGCTGTCCTGAGGGGCTGAGAGCCCAGCAGCAGTCCCAGACTGCTCCTTTCAGCTCTCCTTTTTGTGCTCCAGTTTCACTGCTTGGGCTCCTTTGAGAGCACCCCCTTTGCTGTGTGGAGGCTTTTGCCCCAGTCCAGGGGCTGGTGAGAGCTGTCACACACCCAAAGTCATTTTACCTGTGCAGGGCTGGCAGCAGCATGGCCTAAACAGATTTACCACTCCATTTGAAAGGGATTCAAGGTCAATGTGTTGGAAATGTGGTTTGACCGGTATGGAAGGGACCAGGGTGTCTGGAAGCTGGTTTTAGCAGGCAGGTAACAGGTAACCTTTGCCACGGCTGCGGTCAGTGCCGCACGCAGAGGCCCTGGGGCCCGGACCGGCTGCTGGCATGTGGGAGTACACAGGGTCACGGGGCCCACACTGCTGTCAGCCAGCTCCTGTAGCCCTGCCTTTCCCAGGCAGTTATTAAAACAAATTCACCATTATTCTGGCACAGCCCTATTGAGTCCACCCAACGGAGCTGAGCGTGTGACAGAGGGGGTGGTGTATGTGACCCCCCCTCTCACTGTCCCGCACTGGGGACTCGGTAACTGAGCTCTGGGCTTTCAGAAAGTGGACTGCATTTTTGTCAGATTTTTTCTCATCAAATTAGTGGAGGAAGAATGGTCTCCCCTCAAGCAAGGAAGGGGTTAGATGCCTGTTTGTGATCCTGATGCCTGTTTGTGATCCTGTCCAGCTCAGTTTATGCTTTCAGTGTACCAACTCTGGTTTATTTACTAAACTCCTAAACAAAGTCAGTCCTTGATGCATCACAATCACAGTGCTGGAGTTTGCAAGCCCCTGTCTGGTGGTAGCATTGTCATGGGGCCTTCCGCATAAAGGAAATTTCCTTCCCAGTGTTGCTTCAAGATAAGTTGGATTCTCTATTATTGATACTGCTCGGAGAGCGCTTTCCGTTTTCCTGCTGTGCATGTTTTGCATGTTGCTCATTTCTCTTTACCCTTGGGAAACAAATGTTTTCACAAGCTGTAGGACACTTGGAGCTCCACCCATATCCTCTCATTTTAATTAATCTTCAAAATCCATAACTGTGTTTTTGAAAATATGAAGAACATTTGTCAAAACCATCACATGAGGTTTGTAAATAGCACTCAAGGCCCATGGCTGATGTTAAATCCCTGGAGTCACCGTTCATGGATGCACCTGGCCCTTACTGTGGAGGTTTTTGCACATTAAGAGAGTCACAGTTGTGTTGTTTGCTTAACCAAATTGTCAGGGCTCTAAGCACCACATTTCTGTATGTATCTTTCTCTATCTGAAACATACAACCAAAATTCCTTGGTTTTAATTCTGTGTGTGTTTTAACCTGAAACCCTTGAGCAGAAAAATAGTTTATCAGTTAGAAAGGGTTGATAAAAGCATTGCAAAAAACCTGCTGTCATTGTGAAACACCATGTAGAAATAATCAGGAGAGGTTTTAACATGACCAACTCCAGTCACACCACTTTCCAAATGGGCTTGGTTTGCTTTCCCACGTTGTGGGAGCACAAGAGGAGTGAAGTGATGCGGGGTAAGAAGGGCTGTGCCTTCTCCCTCCAGGGGCTTCTCTGGCTGAGAGTGTCAGTGGGGAATTAGAGCTGTGCTCTGCCTGTGCCAAGTGCAGGATAAAGCCTGGCCTTCCTGGGTGACTGCCCCATTAGGAGCCTGAAAGAGCTGCTGTGTCTCTCCAGTGCCATTTTTCTGACATAAGTTGCTGGTTGTCCCCAAAAGTTGGCAGCGGCATGTGGGGGCCTGGCATTTGTGTGGTGCCACAGGCTTTTCCCATGGGGCTGCACCCAAACAATAAGGGATCATCCTGCTTTGGGCCCTGCTTGCTGTAAATCAGAGGAGAGATGGAAAGAAAGTGAAAAGCCATTAACAGCTCCAGCTCTGAACTTTCTGGAGCTCCTGTGAAAAGCTGACTGTAGGCTCAGCACAAGAAGTTAGTGCTGGACCCAGCACAGTAGAGACTTTCACACTATTTTGGAGCGGTGGAGCCAGCAGGGAGGAGGCCGGTGCCACAGAGGATGGGTGGGGATCAGGTGAGAGCAGCTCAGGCAAGAGCGAGCTGGGGCGGGGGCGGAGGTGGGAGCCGGAGACACCAACGGGGCCCTGCAGCCTCTCGCTGTAAACAGGAAATCGAGGCCACCCAGAGCAAGGCTGAGGAAACGGGAAAGCAGAAGGGGAGAGGCAGCCACTGGCTTTGAACTCTAGAGTAAAGAAAACACTCCTAAGGGCACCACCATCAGCTCCCCCGGCACAGAGGGTCTCCAGCCAGGCTGGACTCCCATCCTCTCCCTCCCTGATAGTTCACTGTGATTAAGGATGCTGAGGCAACACTCAAGACAAGAAGTCAGTAAAACTTTCTCAGGGTTTTTTCCCCCAAGTCCCCACTGCCTGAAAAATGCACTCTGTCCTCCACTGAAAATGCTGGGGTGAGAAAGCTTTTTGGGAAAGCAGCCTCAGAGCTGCATGGACACTGTCCCCAGGAGGGACCTGTTCTCCCTGTCCTGGAAGGGCTGCTTGCTCTGTTGGCTTCCTTGACTTGCTTTCAACACCAGAAGATCCCAAGCTGGTGTCAGTTAATACCATGGCTCCAAAGGTTTCACAACATGACTTGATGTGTCACTGCATTTCCCACATTGTGTCTTTCATCTGTTCAAAATTAGGCCCTGACTCTTCATCTCCTTTTACTAAACCCACATGGAGGTTCTTTTCCCATTCTTTACTTTTACTGTGACCCCAAATTGGGAGAATTATTGATAACCATCATTTTTTGACCAAATATTGTTTTAATGGTGGGGTTTAAGATGGTATTTGATAGCTCTTTTTGTTTTACATAATATTTTGTATATGCAGCTCTTTTTTCATGGTCCTGTAGATTGGCATTTCTCTTTGGAATGAATGTAAGCACAGGGATCACTGAATGTTGTGCTTCTGTGTAGAGACTACAGTAATTAAATAAACAAACTTGCTGATCTGTTCTGGGGCTTGTACGAGCTGGTGAAAGGAGACATAATTTCTGATGGAATTTTCTTTAAAAAGCACCAACTATTGCAACGTTTCTCTTCTGTGACTCATTTCAAAAAAATACTTCAAGTAAAGGCATGGATTACTAGACAAGCAGATATGCAGATACAGCATTCCCAGGCACTTGCTATAAATAGTTCATAAAAAATATATTTAAAGCTAGTAGACACTGGCTGCAGTTCCTTCTGATCTCCTGTTCTCTTCCTCTATCACAGGGATGCTCTGCTCCATACAGAGTAAGGGCAAACACAAAAATGCAAAGTGTCAGTTTACCCAAAGAACACTGTTTTGTCACTAACCCCAGCTTTGACATTTTTCCAAGCCACATGTGTAATTTCACACCTTAACAGGTAGGTAAAAGCTGTCAAAAATGGGGCAGTTTCAGGGCAGTAGATTTGGTCATGTCTAAGCACATGGGTAGGAAGAACAAGTTCAGAAATAAGTGGGAGGAACTGAAATCTTAGGGTGGGGTTTTGCAGTTGTGCAAACCACCACTCAGTGCAGGTCTGCTCTCCTCCTACTCACCACTGTTCTGTTATCTGATTTCTCTTCTTACTGTCTTTTCTTATTTTACTTGGTACCCAGCTTTCTGTCTTCTTCACTCTCAGCATCTTTGTCATCCCACCTCACCATGATCAGATTTTTGCTGCTGTCCCCTAGGTCCTGGAGGCAGTGACTGGTTATGAATGTGCTGGGACCATGCCCCCAACCATGCTGCACTGCCAGAAAGGGAGCACATCCTTTGGGAGGACAACATCCACCAAACCCCTGGGCAGCCACATCTGAAATGTTCTCAGTGTTTTAAGCAACATTTTTTGGAGCTTTCAGAGCTGGGGGCACTGCAGTTTAGGATTAATCTGTCTTCATGTCTTGTTTCTGTACATGCCAACAACTTTATAGAGACTGATGGGAGGCTTGGAATCTTGTCTGCCTGGGAAAGCAGAGCACTTCCATTCATCTGTCTAATTGTGGCTTCCAGAGTCCGAGTCAGAGCACCTGTGTTTTGACAAATTTGGTCTGTAGTATTTCCCAGCTCAGTGAAATGACTTTTGGCTAACAAGGCTTCATCCAAAGTCCTTGGCAAAATAATGTAACCACAGAGATGTATAATGTTTTCTGTCTGAGAGCTCTGGGCTTGGCAGATAGGAGCTGGGTAGGAGTTTGTGAATTAATGTGGACTGCAGTGAGCCTGTGCAGTAAGAGAGCTCTCACAGCCAATGTTTTCCTCTATAAACTGTTGTGAAAGACTCTGGGAAGGGAAGGTGGAAAGAATCTATTTTTCTATGGCTTGGTATAAATGCTTGTCTACCTCAGGCATGCAGTTATGGAAAAATTTGTGTTGACATTGTGTAAATACAGTTACAAATGTTGAATCTGCAAATAAATATTGTCATGAGAAGGAAAAAAGTCAGTGGGAAATGTTGGTCTCTGCTCTCTATCATATTTGTCTTAATCCAAAAGGACTTGTGATATTTTGGGGGATCTGTTATGGATTTGTGTGTGTTCTAGAGCAGGTGAACTCAGCAGGTGAAGAATGATGGGTTTTCAATGAAAAGTCCTAATTTCATCAATGATTCTCCCAAAAAGACAAGCCATACCTTTGATTTAATCTTAAATGATTGAGCATCCCATTTTCACGTAGAAACGTGAGCTGTGATTTATTTTGAGTAACACTGTTGTTTTCCCCACAGATGAACGTGAGGCAGTTGCGAAGAAGACCTTCACCAAGTGGGTGAATTCCCACTTGGCTCGTGTGTCCTGCCGAATTACAGACCTGTACACTGACCTTCGAGATGGGAGGATGCTCATCAAACTCCTGGAAGTGCTTTCAGGAGAGAGACTTGTAAGTGCTTATCAGTATCCATGGTGGGGAGATTGGGTTGGCTTGGATTTGGGTGGGGTTTTGTGAATCCTTGTCTCAACTGCAGTATAGGAAATCTGGGTGCTGAGGGTTCAGCACTGAAAATGTCTTTTTATATATTAAAGCAAAAAAAAAAAGAGCTATATTGCTTCAGCTGGATCCAGACACCACTGAAATGCCTTCGTACCGGCTTCAGTGGGAATCAAAGGAAGTCTTCTTCAAAGGTTCCTTGCTGGGCACATGCTGAATGCTTCCAGCAGCATGTTCCCTGCTCCCAAATCTGACAGGCACAGAGTACAAAATGTTCCTGAGCCCCTTAGATCCCTTGGTGGTGGTTGAGTTAGATATGCTAACTATATATGTCCCTATGCCCAGGGACACCTGGGCCCTGTGGGCAGTGGCCCATTTCTCTGCTAACAAACCCTGCACTGATGCAGGTGTGCAGGCCTGGCACATCCCTGCTCCCTTCCCAGAGCATGCCAGGGTTGTGCAGGACAATAGTTGGAGAGGGCCACATCACCCTGGGAGCAGCTGGAGGTGTGTTCATCACAGCCCACTGCTGAGGAATGTCCCTGAGTGTACTTGATTTTACTCACATAGATAAGGTTTGGGCTTTCTTTGGTAAGGGGAATATCTAAAATCAATATAAACAAATGGGTCAAATTCTTTCTTTGAGTTCATAGAGGCACCCCCTTGGTACCCCCTTGGTACCAGCACAAGGAGTGGTGAGTAAGAAAGTCCTTGTAGTAGAAAATGCTGCTGCACAAGAGGAAAATTGGGTGCCAGGAAATGGCTGGGTATCAGCTTTTCCTTCAGTTCCTTAAATGATGGTGATGCTCTTAGCTGCCTAATTTAGAGCAATCTTTTCAAAGAAACACCAGTCTTTAGCTAAGACCCAAGGCTGCAGGGGGCTGAGTAATCACTTGCCATCAAGCTCTCCTATTAGTGGAGCTCTGTGGCTTAAGACTCTGGTTAATGAGTGGAACATATGGCCCAGTGTAGTGTGTGTGTGGGGAGGCAGGAGAGGAGCTGCCTGAGTGCCTCTGGGAGGGCAAGGGAGTTGGGACGTGCACAGAAGTGCCTCTGGGGATGGGGTAACAAATCCTGGTGTTCATCAGCTGCAGTTTGCTCTGAGCCCCTCTCTGTCTGTGCCAGACCACTCACCCCAGCCATGTGTTGGGTTTGATGTGCTCACTGCAGGTAGCAGGTATTCCTCACACAGGGATAGTTGAGACCAACATTAGGCCCCACTATGTGACACCAACTGTGTCACCTCTGGTTAAATCTGCCTGTCTGCCTGTCAAGATTTGACTTTCAGCAGCAAATAGGAAGCTCAGAGCAGTCCCATGACCGTGGTTGCACCGTTCATTTCCATATTTCACTCCAGGTTTTGGAAAATGCAAACAGGGCTGGGGCAGCTATGGGGTGGGGAGAGGACAGGAGCCTCCTGGAGCTGCACTTGCATCATTGTGTCTGGCATTGGCAGCTGCCTGCACCACCAGACATTCTTTTTGTAGCTTCCTTATCTGAGGCTGGAGGACAGCAGGCTCTGTTTGAACAGTGCATTCCACCACACCTTCTTCTGCAAACAAGAGTAAACGCAATGCACTAAACCTTGAGACAATTACACACACCAAAAGTATTCCAGGAGAATCTTACACACACCAAAAATATTCCAGGAGGACTGCCATGCAGCCTCCACTTGCTGATGTTCTTCAGTTTTTGGAATTTATTTTAGTCAATATTAGGTAGATTCTGGCATCTCCATGGCACCCTAGAGAAATTTGAAGGCAGGTCTTATAGAGAAGGCTTAAAATCAAGACAAGAAACATCACATGGTAAGAAAGCAGAAGCTAGAATAGGTGAGTATCCCATAAACATGGTGTATTTACTGGTGTAGTAGAACAAACAAGTTATTTCCTCACTTTTGAAACTGGGATTCAGATTCTGGAGACTGTGGAGCAGAGTCCAGGATTTTGGATCCCAGTCAGGGAAGCAGGGCTGCTCTTTGCCCTCTCACTTTGATTGCACAAACCCCACTTTTTCAAAACTTACTGTGATTTTTGTTGATGAAAACCCACATTCCTTGGAGGTGTGTTGGAGAAACTCAAAATGAGAGCAACCAATAATGGCAACACCTACATCTTCCTGACCTTGTGCAGTTTGATTCCTAATCCTAGTGGTTAGTCCAGACCTTACAGCATAATGTCCTCTGCACAGCAGTGTTTGGAAGGAAACTGATAGCATGCAATGCTCTCATTGAGCACAGTGGGAAAGAATCCATCCAGCATGAAAGGACAGTTGTAATTTGGTTTGCACACACTGTTAACCAGCTTCTCCCAAACAGAAAAATAAAGCTGGGAATTGTTTTTGTCCTAAGATTAAGCATTTAGCTCAGTTTCTTCCTTAACCAAATTAAGGATTAGTAAATTCCTTGCAATTCCTGGATGCTCAAAGGTCAAACCACTTAAGCACATTCTCTGTAGTGAATTCTGTCACATTTTCTCTTGGAAAAGAGGAAGGGTTTTGATGTAGAACCAGTTTTCCTGTAATGTGTATGTGAAGACTTGGGTTTGGTACTTGCTTTCCCTCCACTCAGTGTCTGGATCTGTGTTAGCCCAATAAATGTGCAAGATATGTCTCACTGTGCCTCATCCTGAGGCTATGCAGGGGAGTGTGGCAAGCGCAGCCACACCTTGTACAAACCAGACTCAGACGCCTCTTCCTCTACATAAAACATCTCTGGTGAATGGTTTTGGCTCTGTAACCATGGCACTGGAGCTTCTGACAGCACAAAATGAGCTTTTTGAGTCCTTTTCTGCTTGGTACTTTGAGGCAATAGAGGTGGTGCAGGTGCTGTTTTGGGCAGTGGGAAGGGCTGTGTTAAGGCACAGGAGACAGGCTGGAGTCTGCCACTGCTGCTGAGAAGTGGCCACAGCCACAGTCATTTCCTGAGCCTTGTGAACATCCTTGTGCAGGTGAGCAGGCCTGGGAAGCTGCTCCCGGGCTCCAGGTGTGGCCATGGGCTGAGACCAGCCATGGGCTGGAGTTGGGGGTGCAGCCAGGCCTCTGCCTTCCCTCCTGCCCCAAACTGCCTCCTCCCTGTGTTTTGTTTTGCAAGGTTCAGTCAAGCCTTAGGTCCAGCTTTCTACACTCCTAATGATTGATGGTGCCAGCTAAAGGCTGGATCCCAGATTGTCCCTGCTGAGTGAGGAATTTCTGAGAGGCTTCAGCCAACCATGCAGCTCTCTCCTGCTTCTTCTGCTCCAGCTGTGGCTCTTTGCACTGACAGCGTATGGGATGGATGGGGTGTGCACAGGCTGCAATTTGGGCCCCTTTGGAGGCCCTTTTATACTCCAAAGCAGAGGGAGTCTCCTGGAAATTCTCCTCCTTGCTGTGAGCTGTGGGTTGATCCTGCATCATTCCCCAGCCTCGGGAGGAGAAGTCACCAGGCTGACTGAGGCTGAGGCCGGTGACCTCAGGGTTTGTGTGTCCCAAAGGTCATCTTCCTTGGCTTCCCTCTCCACCACCCCTTGTGCCACAGGCTGTGTTTCTGTACCATGGCAGGGCCTGTACCGTGGCACTGGCCAAAACTCTTCACCTTGAATGCAGGCTGGGGCAAGGATATTGCCTGAGCTATTTCCATGGCCACTTAATTACATTCACTGCAGAAAACAAGGAAATTATGGCAATTAGTCGTTTGGCTGAGTACCTTTGGTGACATCCCAGTGCCCACTGAACAGGCTATTCAGCTGTAATCCTTATCTGCACAACAAAGTTCCCTTAATTCTATTCAGTTTTACAGCAGAATTCTGCATGCTGATATCACATTTGTTGCATTTTTGCAGTTGCACTGGGCCTTCATATAGCTGTGTTATGTTGATGTAGCTGATTTTTTTTTAATTAGTGGTTTTTTTCTATGAAGAAAAATTTGTAATCAATCTCTATTTCTTTCTTACTCATTATCCGATTTACTGACCAAAGAAAAGCAATGCCATTTCCTTCTGGAGGAGATTTACTGACTAGCTCACAGTTCAAATCTGAGCTTGTGAGTGAATATCCCTGGAGAGGAAACATGAGGGAAGTAAGCAGGAAAAATCCTTTGAAAGGCAAATTAAATTGGGGTCATATGTCCAGCCCAGGTCCAGGATATTGGTTTTTTCACCATGGGTTTGGCACCTGCTTTCATTATCCTGGTGAAAATGGGCTGGAAGATGCAAGGAATGGTTTTGTCCCTGGAATTTGAGGAACACATGCAGCATTGCTGCCTGGGAGTGGTGACGCCCTGGCCAGGACTGAGGAGTTTACAAGCTCTGATTTTCCCCCCACCCATCTACAGTAATAAATGTTTTTATTCTTCCTTTTACCTTCTAGCCTAAACCAACTAAAGGAAGGATGCGCATCCATTGCCTGGAGAATGTGGATAAAGCCCTCCAGTTCCTGAAGGAGCAACGAGTGCACCTAGAAAACATGGGATCTCATGATATTGTGGATGGGAATCACAGGCTGACACTTGGCCTTATTTGGACCATTATCCTGAGATTCCAGGTAGAGTTGTGTGCACACACAGATACATGGATGAGCTTTCCACGCCTGTTTGTCACATACTTCACTGTGCACTTTTGGAGCAGAGTGCTCCCATGTGCTCCCATCTGATGGGAGGGAGGAGTGCTTGGGAACCTGTCAGGATAAATCAGTGTCTGTGGTGCTGCTGACCTGTGGTGGGAGTTTCCTGTGGGGAAATTCATATGGCTTTCTTTTTAAATCACTAATAAATGTGAAGCTCCAGTCTCCACACTAGATCCAGGAGGAAATGCTGCCCTGAGCTGCTCTCCATCTCCATGCTGGTTATCTATAACTTGGCTGGCTTGGCACTGACATGGATTAAGGGTGCCCACGGGAATTATTTTACTGTCCCAGCTAAGGCTTGAGTTTTCTTGTTTTCCAGCGAGTTCCAGATTGGCCTTTGCTTTTAGTTTAAAAAGCTGGAAAGTCCTTTTGCAGAAAGAATAATGCATTCATATAATAAATATATAAACTCAAAATAAATATCATAGTAATAAACATTTAATAGCATTAATTTTGGTGTTTTCCAGCATTCCTTACACCTTTTCCAAAAAGGCAATGTGTTTTCTCAGAGAAATGTTGAAATCTTCTATGTTACTTTTAGATCCAAGATATCAGCGTTGAAACTGAGGACAACAAAGAGAAGAAATCTGCTAAAGATGCTTTGCTTTTGTGGTGCCAGATGAAAACAGCTGGGTGAGTGTGAATTAAGCCATTATCTCTAAAGCTCTTGCAGCATTTGGAGTTTTTGTTGAAATAATTTTAAATGGGCAAACATATCTCTTCTTAAGTGGATTTAGTGAGAGGGAATTCAAGACAAATGAGTTGACATTTACAAGTCAGAAAAGTCTGAATTTGTGATGTCAATTCTGGGTGATAAACATACCAATTGGATTATCCATGAATATATATATAGTAATATGCTGACTCTTTTTCTCCCTATTCTGAGGAAAGAATTGCAATTTCAAGGGAAACTTAATGGCTTCCTGCTCTGGCTTTTGGTGCCAGACTGTGCAGAGCTGCACTGGGGGTGCTGTATTGATTGCACTGTCCTTGGGTTTGTTCTGCAGGTACCCCAACGTCAATATCCACAACTTTACAACAAGCTGGAGGGATGGGATGGCGTTCAATGCACTGATCCATAAGCACAGGTATGTGTGGCTCAGTGTCTGCCCTGGTTTTGTAGCTACCTTGCAGCTTGATTTTAAAAATCTGTGAAGAGCAGGAAGTTGAGGAGTTGCTGAGAGTTTTAGAGCAACTTGTCTTGTTTTGAGCTTTACAGCTCTTGTGGTCATTGTGAGCTTGGCTGGGTAGCAGCTTCTGACACCACAAGTCAAAACAGGCTGTGTTTGGTTTCAAGGGCATAAATTACACCTGTGACTATTTGGGTTTGGTTTGGTTCTTGTACCTCAGTGAGTAACTCATGCCCAGGTCTGGAATTTAGGGGCAGGAGTAGGGGAGCACACCCAGAGCAGCCTGGAGGGAAAGGAAATCCCTGCCCAAGGGTGGCCAGATGTGGTGCCAGGCTGCCATGGTCATGAGACTCATGACCACAGCTTTGTTCTTCTCTTCTCCAGGGTCACCTTCCCTGCTGTTTAGCTCTCCCCTGCTCTCTCCCATGGCCAGGTCCTGCTGTGCCATGTGCTGGACATTGCTTCATTCCTTTAACGCTGCTGGGAAATGCATAGGGCCCGTGAAACGTTGGCTGGGTTTTCTAAGGGTTGGAGATTTTAGTTCATTTGAGGGTGGCTGCACTGTGCTTTGGGAAATCTAAAGAATTTTCCATCCTGTCTAGGCCTGATCTGATTGATTTTGACAAGCTGAAGAAATCAAATGCACACTACAATCTGCAGAATGCTTTTAACCTTGCAGAGCAGCACCTTGGTCTTACCAAGCTCCTGGACCCTGAGGGTAAGAATTCCAGCAGTTTCAGCACTTAAGGGCTCTTTCTTCCCACCCCTCAATGTCAGAGCACATCTCTGTGACAGCTTTTTGTGTCCAAGAGCAGCTGGATGCTGCTGACTCACCTGGTGATACAGGAAGAGAGGGAGGGGGAGAATGTGAAATTTCTCCAGCAGCAAACTGAGCAGCAGTAGCACAAGAGCCCTTAATCCTGTGTTTATTTACTGACATCTGAACAAGTTTGTTGGCCTGGTCATGTGTCCATGAAGTCATTCCAGTCAGAGGCTTCCTTCTGAGAAGGAAGAGAAGCAGAGGAGCAGAGAAGCTTCAGCCTGTGCTTCTGTGGGAATGTGTGTGCTTCCAGTGCTGGGGCAAGATCATTTTGTGTCACAGGGCAGAAGCGATGTGTTTAGGCAAGTTTCTTCTTGTTTATTTTCCAGTGCCTCAGAATTGCTGAGAAATATTTTGTTTTCCACCTGTATCTCTCAGATTCACCTGGACAGACATAAGTTTGAATTCCTCTCTCCAAATGCTGACACAGCACTGAAGTTGTCAATTAACAGTAGCTCTGTCAACTCACACAGACACCAGAGGAGTTATTTGGCTGTGCACAAGCTGTGGCAAAGTCTGGAACTTGACTGTAAAGCCCAAAGGCCCCAAGCTTTAGCCCCAGTCCACACTACTGCCAGAACCAGTGCAAAGCTGCTCAATTTACTTTTTATTAGGACACCAACCTTAGGGGCTGAACTGCCACTGACCCCATCTCTGACTCCCAAACGTATCCTTGGTGCACTCTGAGCTCTCTCGGTGTAACCCCTGCAGCCTCAGCATGCTGAGATAACTCTTGTTTGGTTTGCAGATATCAGTGTTGATCACCCTGATGAAAAGTCAATCATCACCTATGTGGTGACATATTACCACTACTTCTCCAAGATGAAGGCTTTGGCTGTCGAAGGAAAACGTATCGGAAAGGTCTGCCAGTTTAAATTATAAATTGTTACAAAGCAAGCAAAATATTTCTGATTTTCTTTTTTCCTCTTGGGTGTTAATTTTTAAAGAGACCATTCTCTGGTAATTTTGATTTTTTTGCTTTTGAACATATTTTGAGTGTTAAATATTCCCATGTGACTGTGAGGAGTAGTTAATTTCCAGCTGCCTCACATTAGAAAACATTTGGCTGGTGTTTTATTTTTGCTTGTTCATTTTGCATCATTGCTACTTTTCTTTTCTCATTAACTGCTCCTCACCCTCTGGGCCCTCTGTCTCCTCTGGAAAAGTCCCTAATTTAAAACATGTGCAGTCATTCTCTGTCCTTTGGCGACATTGCCCCGGTCCTTACAGCTGGCAGATTGAACGTGAATCCTTTTGTGAGCCTCAGCTCTGCCCCCCTATTGCTGTGGGATCTTGGGAATTTAGTGCTGAAAAATGCCAAGCTCTCATTCCTCAGGGATCCCGGCAGTGAGTACTCTGATTCACAACTCAAGTCTCCCAGCAGTTTCTTTTATGTGGCTTGTTGGATTTAAATGACTGAAGAGCACTGCCCTTGTGACTCATGTGTGTTGTGCTGCTGTTGCAGGTGCTTGACAATGCCATTGAAACAGAGAAAATGATAGAAAAATACGAGTCCCTGGCTTCTGACCTGCTGGAGTGGATTGAGCAAACCATTATCATCCTCAACAATCGCAAATTCGCCAACTCCCTGGTTGGGGTGCAGCAGCAGCTGCAGGCATTCAACACTTACCGCACAGTGGAGAAACCACCCAAGTGAGTTTAACCTCATCTTAACACAACAGTCAGTGGCATTGGTGGCTTAGTCACTCATTGATTTTTTTAAAAAACAAACACATGCAAGTAATTTTAGTTGTGGCTTAAGAATTTATTTTCCTGAGTAAGCCCAGCTCTCATATTCCTGATTGGTACTCGTCGGTGTTACTTGGGGCCTGTTTGCTTTGTGCTGTTCAGTGAGCAGATAATAACAACAGCAACGAGAATAGCATGTCTCCCACAGGATCTGGGAGTCCTGGAAGCTGTCCCTGCCCTGGGATGCCTGTCTTATCATATGAGTGGTAATAGCATACTGTGGTAGTACAGTAATGTCACCACTTGTGCTTTTAATAGCAGAGGATAATACCAAAATGCTGCTATTAAAAGATCCCTACTGCTTATCCAACATGAAGAGGAAACGTGTCTGGCTTTGTCAAACAGCTCTACTTACTCAAAATGATACAAGCAAAACAGGGCAACTTCTTTCTGGAAAGCCTCTTTAGGATTGTGATATCAAATCTGTTTATTATTTTTGTCTAATTCGAGTTCTAATGAATAATAATCATGACCCAAAACATTACACAGGATCCAGACTTCTTCTAAAATTGCAGACTATTCCCTAATGCCCCTGGAGTTTGTTTGTTTCCCAGGCGTACAACACAGGGAAAACAGTGGGAAGAGTTTACTGATGGCGGAGGGCTTTAAATAAAACTTCTATTTCTTGTGCTGATGGAGTGAACTAGGACAGTGCACGTACTAGAATTAAAAAAAAAAGCCTTTTCCTGTCCCCTGAGGGGTTTAAATCCAAACACTCAGACAGCTGACTTCTGTGAAGTTGCTTTTGCTGTCTGCCCCAACTGGCTCCAGGGGAAGTGTGGGCTATTTCCATTGCTCCCAGCTTCCACACAAGATGGAGGTGTTTATGTGAATGCACCATTCACCACGTCAACATTTTAAACAAGTGCTGTACTATAGTTTACTGTAGTTGACTATATTCAATGTTTTATAGAAGAGCTTCCCTGTAAGGGTGGTGAGGCCCTGGCACAGGTTACCCAGAGAAGCTGTGGCTGCCCCATCCCTGGAAGTGTTCCAGACTGGGTGGGACAGGGCTGGGATAGTGGAAGGTGTCCCTGCCCTGGCAGGGGGTGTAACTGGATGGGCTTCAAGGTCCTTTCCAACCCAAACCATTCTGTCAATTCATGGTTCTATGATTATACCTTAGCAGTAATGAAAGTTTGATTGTGACTCAATTCTCTTGCAAAATTTTGTTTAGATTTACAGAAAAAGGAAACCTGGAAGTGCTGCTTTTTACCATCCAAAGCAAAATGAGAGCCAACAATCAGAAAGTGTACATGCCGAGGGAGGGCAAACTCATCTCTGACATTAACAAGGTAAACTGAGCAGCTCCTCCCCTGTGGCTCAGGATATTGCTGTTTTCTCTCAACATTTGTTCTTCTCAAAACCATTTGTGATCTCCAGCCTTGATGTGGGGCTGTAAGAGATGGGTGAGGTGGGGTGACCTTTTCCTGTAGCTCGGACTTACTTCCCTGAGCCAGGCCTGGGGTGTCCTCAGCATCTGTAGGAGCTTCTGCTCCTGGGGCTGCCAGCTCTGCCTTGCCCCTCGTGGTCCTGGCTGTTGGAGAGAAGTGACAGAAGGCAGCAGCAGTAGGTGCTGTGCCCTCCCCTTCACCTCCCAGTGCCCTGCCTGGGCATCGTGGATCCCTCTGGATTCCTGCAGCCTGTTCTCTGCTGCTGCAGCTGGCAGGGCAGGGCTGAGCACAGCAGAGTTGACAGGCTCTCTCAAGGATAACAAACAGCTTCAGCCTGGCAGCTTTCTCCTTTGTGTTTAATCATGCTTGGCAGTCCCATACCAGCTGTTGTGGGTGTCTGTGGCCTCATCCCAGGGAGCAGCAAACTGCTCAGCTCTCCTGGTTGCAGGAGGAATGCCCAAAATAGTCATGTTTCAGGCAGTTTCACATCTGTTCGGATTTAGATTTAGTTTGTGTTTAATTGAGGGGTTTTTTGTTGTCTGTAAGATCTGAGAGGTGATTAGCTGACTTCCAGCTTCTAAGACTTCTGATTTTTGTAATATTATCATCATGCATATGAATAACTCCTAGCTTGGGGGGAATAAAGGACTTGTAAGCACCAGAAGTAACCAAATTCTGCAGTTGTTTTCTTTTCTAAAGTGTAATGAAGAACAACAGTTGTATGTTGATTTTGGAGGTGAGAGGCCATGAATCTCTAATTCCCATTTCCTAAAGGAGGAAGATAGAATCTGCTTGTTTAGGAGCAGCACTCAGGAGATTTTATTTTTTGAAATAAACACTTTCTTACACATTCAAGCCAGGTGGTTTCCTTAGGCTTTGTTGGGAAGGGGGGTAAGAAAGGGCGAGAGAAAATGCATCTGAGATAAACAACTTGCTCAGAAAATGACTGACTAAATTGAGAACAGATTTTAAGTCATGTGTTTATATTAGCAAACAAGGTGTAGGGCCAGCCAGTGCAAACTGGATTTATAGGCTTATAAATAATTGAACCAGTTTGGTGAAAGTTGCCTGTCGTGGCTTCAGCCCTGATTTCATGCAAAGAAGATGGGATTTATCATAATCTTGTAAGAATGTGTTGTTTAGAAGCCATGTGTTTTTCCTCCGTATCTTCAGGCCTGGGAAAGACTGGAAAAAGCTGAACATGAAAGAGAACTGGCACTGCGAAATGAGCTCATCAGACAAGAGAAACTGGAACAACTTGCACGGAGATTCGATCGCAAGGCAGCTATGAGAGAAACTTGGCTGAGTGAAAATCAACGTCTCGTTTCTCAGGTGCTGCTCTCAGAAATTGTCTGGGTGACTAAAATTGTTCCCATGAGTAATTACAGGATGCAGTTCTTGCAAGGAGAACATTTTCTTCCCTGTGCTTCATATTTTACTACATCTATATATGTGTATATTTATTTATTGCATTTAGTTATTCTATATGTGTATGTACTGTACATCCTCACTTTTATACGTTTGGGATTCCCTTCCTTGAACCTACCAGACTGTGGTCAGGAGAATTTGATAAGGAAATAACTACCCACAGTCAATATTTTCTTTACCTGAATATTTTGCTGAGTTCAGTGAAATTAGCCCAGGAGTTAATTTTATTGTTTATTATTAGAGATGATAATATTAGATCAGCCCCAGGCTAATCCTGATGACCATGTGATTCTTCCCCCAAAGGCAGTGAATAATATCTGTGATTTTATCAGTGGTTCTTTATTATCAGAGGCATCTCTTATTTTATTTAAAGAAGACTCTTAGGAGCATTTTGAGGTCCCGGATTTGCTAACAAGTGTGTTTTGCCAAGTCAGAACTGACAGCAGACGTTGAGCAGTGAGACTTTTGTCCTCAGCAGCCATTCCTGAAGAAGTGCCTCTATCTTTGCAGGACAATTTTGGCTTTGACCTCCCAGCAGTGGAGGCTGCCACGAAGAAGCACGAGGCCATCGAGACGGACATCGCGGCGTACGAGGAGCGGGTTCAGGCCGTGGTGGCGGTGGCGAAGGAGCTCGAGACTGAAAACTACCACGACATCAAACGCATCACTGCAAGGAAGGACAATGTCATCCGCCTGTGGGAGTATCTCCTGGAGCTGCTCCGGGCACGGAGACAGCGGCTGGAGATGAACCTTGGGCTGCAGAAGATTTTCCAGGAAATGCTGTACATTATGGACTGGATGGACGAGATGAAGGTGGGTGGAAGTCCTTTGAGAAGGCAGACCAAATATTGCTCAGAGGTGTACGTGTCCCTTTCTGTCAAGATTCATTTTGCCCCTCTGGTTTAATACACAGACCCAGAAGATCCACATTCAAGAGCGGTGAACAAATTCCTTATGATTTGTTAACAATAAAGATTAAAACCATGTTAAGGAAAAAGAACAAGTTCACTCCTATAGAAAGCTACTTTCTAGCTTCATGTTTATCTCATAGAGCCCAGAAGTTTTGGTCACAGTGCTTGGGTAGAGATGACAGATTTGGTAAAAGGGAATGAAATAATCTCTCTCCATCGTGATTTACATGGGGAGCAAGTCACCTCTTCACCTCTCTGCTTTAAAAAGCTTGAATTTCTTCCTGTCTGTTCTCCTGGGATTTGGGAAGGGAAAGGACCACGACTTGTCCATCAGCCAGCAGAACTTGGAAGCTGTTGGAGGAAAGAAACAGCTCAGCAGGAGCTCACAGCACTTGGGCTGAGTGCTGCTCCTTGGCCCTGCTGAGCTAACTCAGACTCTCAGCATCCTAGACTGCAAATTCATTGAAGAGCAGTCAAGTTCTTAGTCGTTGCCAGTGATTTCAAAACTGCTGGCTCAAATTTGTATCAGCCATGTCTCTACATTTGAAATTTCTGTCCTTATGGGCCTGGAGTTCCTCTGACCTGATGTACCAACAGATAACAGTGCCTGGAGTCCCAGAGAAGCAAGCAGCTTATGGTCTTCAGCCTGTTTTACTTGTCTTTCTCATTTTGTTCAGGTGCTTTTGCTGTCCCAAGACTACGGCAAACATTTGTTGGGAGTTGAGGACCTGCTGCAGAAACATGCTCTGGTGGAAGCTGACATCGCTATTCAGGCTGAGAGAGTAAGAGGGGTCAATGCCTCTGCTCAGAAGTTTGCCACTGATGGAGAAGGTAACCAGCACCCCACATACCCCTTTTGTCTTAATTACCTATGAGGTTATCTGTGACATTCATTAGTTCTGCAAGATAGGTTAGCTAAATTTCCCACCAGAATGGGAGAATCCAGCTCCATTTGTTCCTTCTGTACTCAGCATTTCAATGATTCATTTGTCCAGGAGCCTGTTCAGGAATTGAGTGTGGCATTGTGCCTTGCATGGGATGTCACACTCCTCACCAGCAGCCGCTGTGACTTTGTAGAGGGTCACCACGGCTCCCCATGCTGTGTTCCTAATGCAAACGTTTACACAGATTGTTGGACCCAGTCTGACGGTGTCCCGATTTATCCTAAAAGGAAGCAATCCCTAGAACCCAGCGCTGTTAATATAATAAATGATGTCCATTTTGTGCAGTTGTGCATAAATCTGAATTCAATGAATTTTGGCTCACTGGAAACAGTCATGAATATCTTTCCTTTTGGGGTTTTTTTTTGTCTTTTGGAAAGAATAGTGTTTTCTGATCTGCGTTATTGTGTGATGGAGCTTGAACACTTCCCACTCACTTTCCTTAGACTAACCATGGATTCTTTCATGTAAACATTGTAGCTGGCACATGCAGGAATTCAGAGCTCTGCCTGTGCCCCAGCTGTGGGGATGGGAGCGAATGAGGCCAGGTGGTAACACACGTTCTCTGTCCGAGCAGGTTACAAGCCCTGTGACCCGCAGGTGATCAGGGACCGCGTGGCTCACATGGAGTTCTGCTACCAGGAGCTCTGCCAGCTCGCGGCCGAGCGCCGTGCGCGCCTTGAGGAGTCCCGGCGCCTCTGGAAATTCTTCTGGGAAATGGCTGAAGAGGAGGGCTGGATCAGGGAGAAGGAGCAGATCCTGTCATCTGATGACTATGGGAAGGACCTAACCAGTGTTGTCCGACTCTTGAGTAAACACAAGGCGTTTGAGGATGAGATGAGTGGCCGCAGTGGCCACTTTCAGCAGGCGATAAAAGAAGGTGAAGACATGATCGCGGAAGAGCATTTTGGGTCTGAGAAGATCAGAGAAAGAATTAAGGATATCCGGGAGCAGTGGGCTAACCTGGAGCAGTTATCTGCCATTAGGAAGAAGCGGCTGGAGGAAGCCTCTCTCCTTCACCAGTTCCAGGCTGATGCTGATGATATTGACGCGTGGATGTTGGACATCCTCAAGATTGTCTCCAGTAATGATGTTGGCCATGATGAATATTCCACTCAGTCCTTGGTCAAGAAACACAAAGATGTGGCTGAAGAGATTGCGAGCTACCGGCCGACCATCGACTCTCTTCACGAGCAGGCCAAGGCCCTGCCGCAGGAGCACGCGGAGTCTCCAGATGTGCAAGGCAGGTTGTCCGGAATCGAGGAGAGATACAAAGAGGTTGCTGAGCTGACCCGGCTGCGTAAACAGGCCCTGCAGGATACCCTCGCTCTCTATAAGATGTTCAGTGAGGCAGATGCTTGTGAGCTTTGGATCGACGAAAAGGAGAAATGGCTGAATAATATGCAGATTCCAGAGAAGCTGGAGGACCTGGAAGTGATCCAGCACAGGTGAGAATGCCTTTACCAGGAAGTTTGGGGAATACTGGGTGGAAGTGTTTTACCCCAGCTACCTTTCTCAGCTTGCCTGTAGTTCAAATTCTCTAATGCCTGGGGGATCTTGTGTTTGTTTGTTTTCTCCCACTCCAGGTTTGAAAGCTTGGAGCCAGAAATGAACAACCAGGCATCCCGTGTGGCCGTGGTGAACCAGATTGCCAGGCAGCTGATGCACAGTGGCCACCCCGGGGAGAAGATCAAAGCACAGCAAGATAAACTCAACACAAGGTAAGTGAAAGCCTCGTGCTCAGGAGCATCACACCAGCTGGAACAAGTATGGTGGGGTCATTTGTTTTTCTTAAGCAGGCTTTTTTAAGATATTCTGATGCTGTTACCTGAAGAATCTTTAAGGCTTCAAAAGGAAAGAGTTGTGCCTTTCAAATACTTTATTATCAGGTGGAGTTTTGCTCTTGACTTAATCAAGCCCTGAGTGTGTCAGCACCTTGATTTGAGAGCTGGAAATTGACTGTAATAATTACTGTGATAAAAAAGAAATCAATGTAGTTTTGTGTAAACTCCCACATTTTTTACCTTCAGAATAAAGCAAGGGAGTGTGAAAAGTCAGTGTAAGTGCCAGTTTTTCACTTGAGGAAAAATTACACTCTGTGTGCTGGTACTTGTCACATTTTAATACACACCATATCTGGGTTAATGGTTGCTTTACTAGAAATACTGATGGTATGGGAAGGACTGAGGAAACCCTGAGTAGCTGGGTTTACCAAGCTGCTGAGAGCAGCTGCTCACTCAGCAATGCTGCCACATCCTTTTCCCACAAATCTCAATTTCTCTGCTCTCCTCACACATTTCAGGTGGAGCCAGTTCCGAGAACTGGTAGATAGGAAGAAGGATGCTCTGCTCTCTGCTCTGAGTATCCAGAACTACCATCTTGAATGTAATGAAACCAAATCCTGGATCAGGGAAAAGACCAAAGTGATTGAGTCCACACAAGATCTGGGTAACGACCTGGCTGGAGTGATGGCCTTGCAGAGGAAGCTGACGGGCATGGAACGGGACCTGGTGGCCATCGAAGCCAAGCTCAGTGACCTGCAAAAGGAGGCAGAGAAACTGGAATCAGAGCATCCTGACCAGGCACAAGCCATCCTTTCACGGCTTGCAGAGATCAATGACGTGTGGGAAGAAATGAAGACCACCCTGAAGAACCGGGAAGAGTCCCTGGGAGAGGCCAGCAAGCTGCAGCAGTTCCTGAGAGATCTGGATGACTTCCAGTCCTGGCTCTCCAGAACACAGACTGCAATTGCCTCCGAAGATATGCCCAACACCCTGACAGAGGCTGAGAAGCTGCTCACTCAGCACGAGAATATCAAGAATGAAATCAACAACTACGAGGAAGATTATCAGAAGATGAGGGACATGGGTGAGATGGTGACACAAGGGCAAACTGACGCTCAGTACATGTTCCTACGCCAGCGCCTACAGGCTTTGGACACCGGATGGAATGAGCTTCACAAAATGTGGGAGAACAGGCAAAATCTCCTTTCCCAGTCTCATGCCTACCAGCTGTTTCTCAGAGATACCAAGCAAGCAGAAGCTTTCCTTAATAACCAGGCAAGTGGTGGTCAAGATATACCTGACTTCATTTCTACAGGTTGGCACTGTGTACTGCAAGCAATTAACAGACAAAGTGTATTGGTGGGAGAGCCACAAGCAGACAAATTGCCCTTTTCTAACTGTATTTTACTTCACACTGTTCTTGGGGAGTGTCTGTTGTTGGAGCAGCAGTATAGCCTGAGTGTAACAATTTTTCCTCTGATTTCTTTTAATCCCAGGAGTATGTTCTGGCACACACAGAGATGCCAACCACCTTGGAAGGAGCAGAAGCTGCTATTAAAAAGCAGGAGGATTTCATGACCACCATGGATGCCAATGAAGAAAAGATCAATGCAGTTGTGGAGACGGGCAGGAGGCTTGTTAGTGATGGGAACATTAACTCTGATAAAATCCAGGAGAAGGTGGACTCAATTGATGACAGGTAAGGGCAGAATGATGGTAGAATGTAGCTGTTCCTCCTTTAATTCTCTTCTCTGAGAGATGCCCTTTCACCAGGATCTAAAGGCAGAGTAACAGCTTAGAAAATGTCTGTTCCAGACTGTTTTCTTTGTCTCATGGAAAAATAGGAACTGTCCTGTTTCAAGAATGTGCCTGGCTAATCTTAGTTAAACAATACCTTCCCCACTTTCTAGAGGCTTGGTAGATAATGAGCTCCCTACCCAGAATTTGGTTGTTTGAGTGTTGCTGTGTAGTTCTTGGAGTATGAGCAGACTTGATTCTCTGGTGGGAGCCGTAGCAGTTGGCTGTGTCTGGTTCCACAAGTCTCAGTTTCCTCTGCTGCCCCTGAGCTGGTGTAATTACAATAACTTATTCCTGTCCTTCCTCTGGAGAAGGAATGTGGCTCTTCAAGGGTGTAATTGGCATTACATGCACCCCACCCACTTGACTTTGATCACCTCTTCCAGCTTGTCTGGCCCCTCTGAGATCAGATTAGGAAGCACCACTGGTACAAATGTGTCTTTCATCCCAGAACAAGTCCTTTGCTTTCTCTCTCTCTGGCTGTGGCATGGATGCTATAGAACATTAAAAGTTTCTTTTTCTTTGAAACCCAAATGTTCAGTTTTGATGGCTGTTGTTCTTTCTGCTTTTGGTTGGGATAACAGTGGAGTCTTTCAAGGCACTGTGAGTGTCAGAACACAGCAGTGAGCTGTGAAATGTCACTGATGACCCTCCCATCAGACTTGCATCCCCCCACAGCTGGTTAAGCTCAGGTTCTCCTGAGCTTCATCTCCAAGGAGAAACTGAACTGAAGTAGTTCAGAAGATGTTGTACCTTTCCTGTTTGGGCAGAGATGTCCCACTGTGTGTGCACCCACTTTAGCAATGTCTCATGGCTTCAGGAAAGGCAGCTCTTCCTGTTCCCTGGGCTTGCTGAGGGCCTCTGACAGCTGAACCCCCAGGCTACCCCATGTTTCCATTCTGTCTCTCACCAGCTTGGCTCTGGATTCCAGAGAGAATCTGCAAAGGCCAGGAAGAGATTACAGGAAAATCAAGGGGGCAACTAGGACAGTGGTTTTCCTTATTTACCCTCTCTAAGCACCCTCTACTCTAAGTTTTCCCATCCACTTAGGAAAGCAGGAGAGCTTGATCCCAGCCTTCTGGTCAGGTGTCCTCTTTCTGCAACTTTTGGAATGAAAAGAAATCATCCAAGGATATCACAGCAAATGGCCAGCTGCATCTTGCAGCTAGAACGGCAGACAGCTTCAGCCCCTGTCCTGTGTGCTCTGCAGAGGCTCTGGTGGCTGTCACCCCAGTGCAGCTGCTCCTCTGTGCCCCGTTGTCCCTGCTGTCCTGCCCGGGGGACGTGTGCTGGAGCTCCTACTGGAAGTGAGCATTTCCTCAATTCCAAAGCTATTTATGCCGCGCGCTGCAAAAACCATCCGGAGCGCCGCTATCCAGGAAATCCGTGCGATTCCTCCCCAAATCTGGGGGGCTGATAAGCCTCCAGAACAAAGCCTTGGGGCTGCGTGCACTGGGAGGGGTAGCAAAGGAAGCCTCTTTGCTTTCACAAAAAGTGGCTCTCCCAGCTGAGCTCCACCTGGATGTCTAACAAAGGACCAAAACAAACAAGCACAAATATGTGCAGTGGCTCCATACTTCCCATAGGGAGCTCTTTGTAGTTTCTGGTATTGTTCAGAGTGGGTTTTGTAGTGGTGCTTTTGAGCTGTTCCTGAGGAGACCCCACTGGCCCTGGTGCAGCAGACAGGCCCTGCCCTGGGATGGTTCCCATCTCAGTAGGGATGGCACAAGGAGAAAAGTGCAATAGGAAAGAAACACTTCAGCACAACCTTTTAGTGCAGTTCACAAGCAAGAATGAATGAGCATAAGGACATGGAGTAAGGGTAAGGGAAGGAGAAGGTGGGTTTGCATCAAGCTATCTAGCTTTTTCAGCTGGGAAAGAAGCTGGTCTCCCTGTGCAGCTTTCTCTGCTTGGGTGACTTCTGCTGCTCTGAAGCAGTTTCTCCTCCATTTTCTCTTGGAAGAGTGTTGGGGAACTGCCCCTCTTCATGTGCCCGCTCATGGCCTCTGATTCTGCAAGGGAGATTTAGTCTAAAGACAGTGGCAGACCTGGCACAAATTGTGATCTGAGCCTGTTTTACATCAACTTTTGTATTTGTGCAACTTTCTGCTCAACAGAGAACAGAAGTAAGTTTTGTTCTTGCCCATTCAGAAGGGAGAGTGCCCTGTTTGCTGGAGCAATGAAAGAAGCTAAAACTGCCTTTCATATATCTCAGGATTCCTAGCAGTCAGCTGCATTCACACCATGTGTAAGATTTATTATTGCTGCACAGGCTTTGAAACCCACAGGCTTACAGTTAAACCACAAGTGGTTTTGTCAGTTTTCAGCACTGTCAGCATTCTCAGGGGCCTCTGGGAGTCAACCTGGGGACACCAGGCAAATTCTAGATTAATTTGTGTCAGACACCTCCTTGTGCTGAACAGATCTTACACTTATAGTGTAAGTCCTATGTGTGATACAGAATTCAAAGCCATTCTAAATAACTGGAGTCTGCAGAGCAAACTATTCTTCCACAAACTGTTCTGGCAAATTAGTAAGAAGCAGTCACTGACAACCTTAAGTGTGAATTCTTTAAAAGAATTTAGGGATATCAGAACAAGGAGTTATTGATATTTAGGTACAGCTAGTCTGGAGCAGGAGAACAGACTAAATAACTTCTTAAAATCCTTTATTCCCATTAAAAGGTCAGTGATGAAAACACAGGAATTCCTGTCTGTTCCAGCAGTGCCCATCCTCAAAATGCTTCTACTTTGTTATGGTTCAGCCCTGTTCTTCAGAGAAAACTCATTGTCCAGTCTCACTCCAGGTCATCTTGAACAAAACAACCTTGTACAGTTACATAGCTCTAAGCACCAGAGATTGTATTTGTTATGCTATGGCATCATCTGTTTGATATCCCTGCATGGTTTCCTTCAAAGTTCTTCTAGTCAGTATTTCCAACACTCCATGGGAGTTATTTTTGTTAGTTTTTTAAAATTTGTGTTTTTTCAACATAAGAATTTCTGTGCTTAAATCTATTCAAGCACCATGAAAGTTCTCCTTTAAACTTCATAACTTGTGTCCTCTCCAGAATACATGAGTCTGTAATGTAATCTAGCCTTAAATCTCTGAAATCAGCCTGATAAAATCACCCAAGCTGTTCTTTACTTCATTTTAACAACCTGAGTAATGCAGTGTGTTTGCCCAGGCATATAAAAGCCAGCCAAGAAAGAGTGGAATCAAACCCAGGGATGTTTGCCTCATTAGAGAAGTTTTTCCTAAGGCAAAGTTTGTGTCTTTCCCTTTGTGTTCCCTCTGTCAAAACTTCAGCCTCACCTGGGCTTGGACTCCAGGCTGTTGCTTTGATGGTTGCACGTGTCTTCCTTGCCATGCAATCCATAAATCCTTTTCTTGACTACACCTATAGAGATGCTGCTTGCCTGGTTGATTGAAGGCAGCTGTTGAGGCCAAAGAGAAGCAAATTGTAGTCCTCTAAAGGGTTTTCTCCTATTCCTCTGCCTACAGACCTTTTGCTTTTACAGAAAATGTGTCTCTAAGTATTCCTTGTGTTTCTGAAGTCACTAAATTGGTGCCAGAGAGCTTGCTGTGGTAACTTACTGCAGATCAGGGAAAGTGGTGTTATAATCCAGTTGTCATCAACATGTGATTTATGGTCTTCTGGAGTATCATGAGTCTCTGGAGATCTCCACTAACAGGGATTTATTTAGCTTTTGCCAGCATGTGCTGAGCTCATCTTATAAATTGCCACCCTTTAAAATAATTTCCAACTCTCAATCCATATTTATCTTATTACAAATGGCAGCAATATTTCACTTTAAACCCCTGTACAGTGCAATAGGAATAAGCCTAGCACAATGAGCAGTAAATAAAAATTGTCTTCTTTACTCTGTCTCTTCCTTGTAAATTGCCTCATAAATAATGAAAGGATGGAAGGACAGAGATAACTACTCCAAAATAAGCATTTTTAAAAACATGCCCAGAGGTACCTTGGGAATCAGCCCCATTCCATTTGAAGGACCCACCACAACCTTTGGGACTGCCAGCGTGACTCATCTTCAAGGGACAAATGGTGATGAATCAAATTAGGGCTTCTGGATTAACCTTTCCTTCCTTCTGGCTGCTCTTAAACATTCTGAAAAATATGTTCCAATTGCATAAAGCTTCTGTGTGCAGAACCACACAGGGGTGCTGCACGTGGTTAAACACAGCCTTGGGAAGGTTCTGTGGCCCAGCTCAGCTTTGTGCAGGACAAGGAGGTGCTGGAGGTGTTCTACAAAGAGATTCCAGCAGGTGCACCCTGCAAGGGCCACACAACGTCATCTTACTGTTGCAATTTGCAGTTTTCTTGTGTGTTTTGGCAAACAGCCTGAACTCTCCTGTGGGTTTAAAATGAGTGGGCCAAATTCTGTCCATAGCATGTTGTGAAACCCTACTGACTTCAGAATGTTCTGTGTGTATTTAGCAGGTCACAAAAACAAGGAGATGTGGAACTTCAGTGAGCCCACTAAATAACACACTCCAAAATGTCCTTTGAAAGGCAGCAAAGGACACACACCACAAACTTACCAGCACCTGTAGTCCAAAGAGGCTCCAGAAACCAACAGTGACAGTTTTTGTGAAATGTCTATTAATTTCCTTTCTCTGTTGTTTTTTTTTCTGACCAGACATAGGAAGAACCGTGAAGCAGCCAGTGAACTTTTGATGAGACTGAAAGATAACAGGGATCTCCAAAAGTTTCTTCAGGATTGCCAAGAGGTAAATCATGCCCTTTCACTTTTATTGCTGAAAGCTGCCATCCTACAGAAGAGCATTCTTACTCCATATTTTATGGGGACTGGAATGCTCAGTCATCCAGTAGTATTTAGCGCGGAGTAAACATAAAAACCCCTCACCATACCACTGCAAAAAAGAATGTTTGTTTTTTCTTTTCTCATGAATCAGATTTTCTTTTGTCATATAAGGTAAAGACATAGAAAACTGTCAAAAACAGTGAAGATTTTCTGCTGTGATATAAATTATAACCATGTGGAATGTAGTGGGATTAGCAGTGTACTTACTAAGAGTTTTGTCTACAGCTGTACAGATGGATATGGCCTGATGCAGGGAATTTCAAGTGATTTCTAGCAAACATTAGTCAGAACAATAGGAGGTTAAGAATAAAAAAGGAGCAAGATTAAACTGTGTCGTTTATGTGTGATTTACCTGATAGTTTACATGTGTTTAAAATTGTTAAATATTATAACGTTGGGAAAAAGAAATTCTTTCCAGATTTTCTAATCACTTACATGGACTGTTTACACTGAAGACAACATTTTAAAGTTTAGAATACTCTTGTTCCTAGCACAAGGAATTAATCAAGTAATTTTCAGGTTATTTCATGGAGTACTGGCAGATAATAAAGAGCTTTGCCTGTGAGGTTTTGATCAGAGACTGGGGAAGTGATATTTGCTGCTTGGTTGCCTGGATTCAATCTGTTTCCAAGCATTGCATAAGCTGTCCATGAGCTTGCCTTCAATTGCTTCTTCCTTGGTAGTTAAAATATGACAGATTAGCAAAAAATCTGCTGTTATTAGCAGCAGCTTCTTCCTTCCTCTGTGACAGCTCTGGTTCAAAGATCCCCTGGCTCTCAGGGCTCTCTTGGCCTCAGTGTCAGTGTGGGTGTGTTCCCTAGGATCTGGTTATTCCCCCTATATCACTGGAAGAAAAAGGGAAGCATAAAAGCTCTAGTGTTGGCTGCCTGAACGCCTTTCCTCTCCCTTGTTTCTCTCCAGCCACTAAAACATGGATGTCTCGACGCACAGTTCAAAGACAAACTTACAATTACCCAAATGTCAGGGATTTCTCCAATTCTCTTTGAGAGGACATTAATTTTGGTGATAATTGAAGAGCTGTTTCCTAAGAAAATTTAAAATTTACATCAGTGCGGGGCCTGCTGACACCTCCATTGGGCTGGAGGGTTTGTGATGAAGCAGCACTGTCCTGTGGGCTGGAAGGGAGCCAAGACATCTCCCCCTTGGCTTTTTCTTTAGCACTGCCTGTGAAGCTGGGAATTGTTAGGGAACAGCTTTGAGCCAGTCCCCATTTCACCTGGCAATGATCCCTTGGCCTTCCTGCCTGCTGCTGCCTTAGGGACAGCTTCCCATCTGTCTGTAACCTGAGGAAAGGCAGAGTGTTTTCTGCAGCCCTTCCCTTCCCAGGGCAGCCGCATTGTCACTGTCACCCCTCACTGAGGTGTTTAAGAGTGTGGTCTCCTGTCCCTCGCTCCTTCCTGCAGAGCTGGGGAGGAGGGTGGCACTCCAGAGCAGCGGGATAATGCTCCTCACAGCAGCTCATCAGTGATAAACCCCTCTCAGGGGTCACAGGTGAGGGAAAACAGCAGATTTTGTTGTGGTGAGGAGTCAGAAACACTGTCACAGGTTAGTCCTGGGGTGCTGTTTTTTCGGCTGTTTCTTGCACTCATCAAGGTGAATGTGTAAAATAAATTTGCCAAGTGAATGAAACAGTGACAGCAGAAAATCCTGACTGGAGGAGATGTGATAAATGTTGCCATTTAGTTTTCTTTGTCTTTCTGCTCTTTCTCAGCTCACCTTCAAGGGAGGAGTTTATAGCTGTCCTTCCCTCTGAGAGCTTGGAGTCTCAGCACTGTCTGGGCTCATTTCTCCAGGGACATGGTGAAAGCTCTTGGCAAGGCTCTGCACTCCGAGATTTCTCTCCTGGAGTGTGCTGGCAGGATTTGCCATGTGAGCCTCCCCACAGGACAGGCTGGCAGCTTGGCTCCTGGCACAGTCTGGGAAGTGCAGTGGCACTTGGAGCCCTTTCCCCTTGCCTTGTTGCTGCCCCAGGTTCACAAGGATTTGCCTCTGCATTTCCCTTCCTTCCTGCTGGCTTGGCACTGCAGAGTGACAGCCAAGAGCAGGAACAGGGTCTTGTGTACAGGTGCAAAGGATGGAGGAAGCCTCATCCTCTCCTGACCTTAACAGCTTCTGGAGAAATAAATACTCCAAGTGTGACTTTGAGGCAATTTAGGGAACTGTTATTTTCTGAAAATCTACTTTCACACTCAAGGTACTGATTTTTAGTGCCTATAGTGGTTGCAACCCCCAGATTTTAGCAATGAGCCCCTAAAAACTTTATCTGCATTTCTGTGCTCTGAGGGGTTTATCCAACAGGCCCTGGCTGTGAACCACATGTTGTCCCTGTCTTGCCTTCCCCCAGCTGGTAACAGGAATGATCCAACCTCTCCTTGGGAAGCACTTGTAAATCCCCAGAAGCCTTAATGCTGTGGCTGAGTAAAAGCAAACAGTGAAAGCCAAGCAGTGCAATTTGCAGAGCAGAGCAGCTGTCTCCTCCCCAGAAAGGCAAGAGTAAAACCACTAATTCTGGGTTATATCTTAATCTCCATGTAGACTTTGAGTGTTCAGCAGCACAGTAGCCTGTTCTAATGCAACCTTTTACCTACAGAGCTCTTCACTGACATGAGCAATTTTCTGTTTAGACTTGATGGGAAGATCCAATGAGGAGTTTCTCTGATTGCTCTGATAGGTTTTCCCTTTTTGGGGAAGAGTGCATTTAAGGGACAATTGAAATTTTAAGTGGCAGTTGAAAAGAGGCTCATGAGTGATAAATGGAATTTGTTGCCCTGTGTCCTGAACACACAGCAGAAGCCTCTGTTCGTCTCCTTTTTGGGCTGCTTGCTCACCCAAGTGCTGTTCTAGAAACCAAGCTGAGATTTGTTTTGACATTTTCTGCTCTAAATATGCAGAAAATGGACCTTTTCAAATTCTGTAAACATTCCTGTGAATGTGGTTTTTATCCACACCTCAGGGATAGATGAGGCAGTCAGACTCACCCTGGGAGGAAATGTGATGTTGGCCGCTAGGATCATTTTCACATTCCATTTGCACTTGGCAAATCAACTGTCTCTTAAAGTATTGGTTTTCTCTAGTGGTGATATGGAAATTGTCCCCAGTGCCTTTGTACTTGCTGAAAATCAGAGAGAAAACAGTCTTGGATTTTATATAATGGGGAAAGGAAAGTCTCCAGTACCAAAACACTCCTGGAGATTGGATAAATAAACAAATTACTTATGCAAACCTATACAGAGGAAAGACTAAGGGGAAAAGGTACAAATGTGCTGTGAACTAATGGTACAAAACCATCTCTACCAACCTCCACAAAACCACCTGACCAATATGTAGTACACATGTCCCTGTTTCTCTTGCAGTTGAACTGGGTGGGACCTGTGTGTTTGATTCTGCCTACCATAGAGGTGATTCCTTTCTGCTTGAGTCAAGGGTTACTTATGTACTGGAGATGGATGTTAGAATTGAACTGTTAAAGAGGCAGATCCTTGGCTGAACCCTGAGTAAATCCCTGAGTAAGGGCAGTCTCTGAATCTCACACATCTCTGAATCTCTTTATCCTTGATCTGGAGGCATTTTGCCTCCTTGTTTCACACCAGGAATGTTTCCTCACACTCCCGTGTATTTTCCTTTCCAGCTCTCCCTCTGGATCAATGAGAAGATGCTCACAGCCCAGGATATGTCTTATGATGAGGCGAGGAACCTACACAGCAAGTGGCTGAAGCATCAGGCATTCATGGCAGAGCTTGCATCCAACAAAGAGTGGCTGGAGAAGATTGAAAAGGTAGGTAAAGAATATTAAAAAAATGCCCATATCTTTGTCCAGGGTGGTTGTGCACAGAGATGGGATCTGTTCCTCTGCAGAACTGGTCCTTAAATCACCCCACAGCTGAGGCTAAAGGAGATTTCTGGTGCATTGTGTCTCCATCCAACCCATTTTGTTCTTCATTGATGTTAAAATCTTTTATCCAAGACATTCACTCAGACATTGGCTAAGGTGCAAGTTTAGTTTTGTCTAGTCCTTCCTATCTGCCAGAAGGAAGGCAGAGCCTACATTTCATACCCAAAGGGTAAGTGGGGCAAATGTTGGGATTTGAGCCAATGAAGTAGAAGCACTTCCCGGGAAATAACAGAATATAGAGAATAGCTGAGTTTATTCTTCTGTGCTGCTAAGCTGGCTTTCATTCATTCAGAACTATAGCCAAGCTGCCTTTCTCCATGCAAAATTAGGGCATGAGGTAAAGAACATCCAGTTTTGTGATTAATTAAGATTCACAGCTCTGTATCAAGTTATTTGAAGCCTTAATATGCTGTGATGAGCTGTACTTCCCCCCCACCATTTCTCCTGTGCAGCTCTGGAGCACTGAGGAGTCTCCTCTTTAGCTCTGACAGTGGGTTTCTGTTCAGTGTAAGTTAGCTTAATTGCTCATTTCCTCTCCCACTTTGGCACTCCATATCCCATTAGAGGCTTTTCTGTGATCTACAAATAGCAATACCCTTTAATGGTGTAATTAGAAGGCTGCTCTTGGTACTGGAAGTTCCTTTTTAGTGATGCTAATACATCCCTCTCCTTTGCCTCTGAAAAATCAGATTGCAGCAAAGGATCAGGGTTGTGTACAGAGTTGTGACAGTCCCTGGATTAACATTCATATGGAATGTGCGGGCTGGGGGCAGCATTCCCATCTGCATCCAGCTGAAGAGATAGATAGGGATAATTAGCATAAAAATAATATTTCCCAAACTCTCCCATCACTATGCTGTGTGTTCATGGCTCTCTGGTGATGTGTCCCCCAGGAGCTGGGGCCTCAGGAAATGCAATGTGTGCAGCTCTAGCCCCCTGCTCCATCCTGCCTGAGCCATGGCCCCAGGAGCTCCCTTTGGGGAACATGTGCAATGGAGAAGAGAAAGGAGGCATTGCTTGACCTTCCCATCACTAAAAATCCCTCTTCCAGGCAGCAGAGGGACCTGGGAGCTGATATTCTGGAAGGAGTCACTGGGTAATTGGAGATAGAAAATGAGTGGTTGATGCTGCCAGCAGATGAGAAATCCTGAGTGCTTATTAATCAGGATAATTGCCCTAACGGGCCGTGAGTGCTCCTGAGGAGGTACCATTTGGTTGCTCTTTGCTTTGCAGGAGGGAATGCAGCTCATTGCAGAGAAACCAGAGACTGAGGCCGTGGTGAAGGAGAAGCTGACAGGTCTCCACCAAATGTGGGACGAGCTTGAATCCACCACCCAGACCAAGGCTCAGCGTCTCTTCGATGCAAACAAGGCAGAGCTTTTCACCCAGAGCTGTGCAGACCTGGATAAGTGGCTGAATGGTTTGGAGAGCCAAATCCAGTCGGATGACTACGGAAAAGATCTCACCAGTGTCAACATCCTGTTGAAGAAGCAACAGGTAAACAGAGCATGGGGTGCAGCGGGCAGGCAGCAGATACCTGCACTAAAAGGTGCAGCGGGCAGGACAGGCTTTCAGTTTAGAAAAGAAAGAACTGCTTTTCTTTCTTCCTATTCTTTCATGTATCTTTAAGAAGAACAAGAAATTAATCCAGCAACAAATCAGACAATCATTATTAACATGGTAAATCCTCACTGACCAGCATCTGTTCTCCCTTCTGAGGAAGCTGTTGATGTGCCCTAATTGTATGAACAGCTTTCATCCTGGTTTTCAGGACCCTTTTGTCATGTTTCTGTTTAGATGCTGGAGAATCAAATGGATGTCCGTAAGAAGGAGATAGAGGAGCTGCAAAGCCAGGCAAGGGCTTTGAGCCAAGAGGGCAAGAGCACAGATGAAGTTGATGGCAAACGCCTTACTGTAGAAAAGAAATTCTTGGAGCTGCTGGAGCCTTTGAATGAGAGAAAGGCCAACCTGCTGGCCTCCAAAGAGATCCACCAGTTCAACCGGGATGTGGAAGATGAAATTGTGAGTATCAAAGAAATCCCATTCCCCAGGCAGTAGGAAAATGTTGGAATACTGCTGCTTTTTGCAGCCTGTGTGTGCCAGCCTCTCTCTGCTGTCCCAAGAGTATCTGGGGTTGCTTGAAATCATGTGTACTCTCTCTTTCAGTTGTGGGTCGGAGAGAGGATGCCCATAGCTACATCTACTGATCATGGACACAATCTCCAGACTGTGCAGCTACTAATAAAGAAAAATCAGGTAAGTAGGTGCTGTTAGAGCTCCATATCTGCTATTTCTCCTTAGTGCTGACTAATTTGGGAAGGACATGTTTGGGGTAAAACAATGGGTGCTGTGGCATGACCACAGGTGGTGGCACAGCTGGTAAAACAATGGGTGCTGTGGCATGACAGCCCCAAGTTGTCCACATGAGCTGATGGTGTGTGTTTTGCTGCCCCTCTGGAGTTAAGACCCCTGGCTTGTATTTTCATTTGTGCATTGTCTCATCAGTCAATTTTCTCCCATGTAGACCCTTCAGAAAGAAATCCAGGGCCACCAGCCTCGTATCGATGACATTTTTGAGAGAAGTCAGAACATCATCACAGAGAGCAGCCCCAATGCTGAAGTCATTCAGCAGAGACTTGCAGACTTGAAGCAGCTGTGGAACCTCCTCATCGAGGAGACAGAGAAGCGCCACAAGCGCCTGGAGGAGTCTCACAGGGCTCAGCAGTATTACTTCGATGCAGCCGAGGCTGAGGCCTGGATGAGTGAGCAGGAGCTCTACATGATGTCAGAAGAGAAAGCCAAGGTGAGCAGCTCCACAGTGACTTTGGCCTTAATTGCTTTGCTGGAGGGAGGCAAGTGACATAATTTGGTGTGGCGCTATGGAATGGTAACATAAACAAATGTAACTTCCTGGTGAAGCCTCAAGTGATCGTGTCTTCTACCTGTTCTGACATCTTTGATAGTGTTCAGGATAGGCTGTGCTGTATGGAACCAGGGAAGCATCCTCACACTGCAGAGGGCAACTCTGTGCCTGCCTTCATTGCAAGGTCAGGATTGTCACTGTGGTCCAGTTAGGTCCAGTTTTCTGATAGTTCTGAATGACAGCACAATGTACCTGGCTGTGAAACGGGGCCTGGTGGTCAGTCAGCTGCTACCACTGTCACCAACCTTGACTCTCAGTGACCATCAGCTTTGAGTCCCAGCTTCACACCATAACAAAGAGAACGTAAACTCCTGTTTTCCAAGGAGGTGCTGGAGCTTGTTTGTTATCAACATAAATGCACCATGTTTCCTGCCCTGGTAAAATAAAGCTCAGCTTTATCAGGAGAACACATTCCACAGGTGTTCAGTCTCCAGCTAAAAATGGCTTGTTTTCTTTTTATCTATTGCAAATAGCTCACTATGCAAAATATTGTATCGAAAAGATTTATTGACAAGATCAGTTAACACTGAGAGTAGGAGGCTGGTTTTCTTAGCTATAACAGTGCATAAAAAGTTTCAATTGGAACTTCTCCAGACACTTTGATGGAGAACCCATTGGCATGGACTGTGTAGGATTTCTTTTCTTTGCCCCATGCTGTTGTTGAGATGCCTGACAAGTGATGTGTCTTAATCTGTTCCATGTTTCAGAGCCCTGCATCAGTGTTGTGGAAACACATAAAAAGCTTCATAGAAGAGGAAACTCAACATTCTCAATGCCCAGCTGATGTAATTTTGTTCTGCACCCCAGAGGGATTGATACATTATCTCTTTCATTTATTATTTTGCTTTCTGGGGGTATTATTTGCTGTGACATCAACCGTACTATACCATTGGCAGAAGGACTTGTCTTCAAGCTGTACTTGGGAGCAGCTCCTTATAATTCTTCCTGTCATTTTCTGTCACTCTTACAGGATGAACAGAGTGCAGTGTCCATGCTGAAGAAACACCAGATTTTGGAACAAGCAGTAGAAGATTATGCTGAAACTGTGCACCAGCTTTCAAAGACCAGCAGAACTTTGGTGGCAGATAATCACCCAGAAAGGTATTAACTGCCATTTTTAATTGGATCATGAGTTTTTTTAGCAATTCAGTCCCTTTGGGTGGTTCTGACACACAAAGTCCACCGCAGAGAGTAAGTAGCTCAGAGGCTCATACAGAAGGAGTTTAGCCTCAGTCAATTCAAGGTGTCAGTTGGACCACCCTGATTTGGCCAGAGACAGGGTCAGTGTGTGCAGCTGCTGATTCTGGTGGTTCTGGACACCTGGAGTACCTGTCCCCTGTGCAGGCTACAGTGTCAGGTCTTGCCAGCATCTGAACATCACAGAGGCAGAGCAGTCCTCAGGCCAAGATCCTGATCTGCTTTTCCAACCAACTTTAATCCAGCAGAGAAGGTCACTGTCATTAATCCTGCAGAGCTCCCCAAGATCTGCCTCTTCTCTATGAGATTCCAGCAGAATCAGAGCCTGGAATCAGATGCTTTAAACATGGGCACATTAACATCTTACTTTTGGTAAATTTATCTCACTTTTCATAAATGGCTTTCCCTGAGGGAGAGCTCAGGAAGCCTAAGAACCATTTTGCCATAAGAGCTGCAGCTCAGCAGACAGAATTCTCCACTAGCTTCAGCTGCAAAGCTGATTCCACTCTGAGGCTGATGTATTTAACTGCTCAGCCTGCACAGGCTAGAAGGTGGCACTGGCCTAGGCCAGACATATTCTGCCTCCGGAAGGTTGTTATTTAACTCTAAAGCACTCTCTTGTGGTCATGATCACTTCTCATGAGAGCAGATTTCCTGGCTGAGCTGTCTGAGTACTGGAATAACATCATCAGCTTTGCAAGGCAGATGGAAGGCACTTTGACAGCACTGTATGGCTCAGACAAAATAGAGGCAAAAGATACAGCAAGTAGAAAGATTCATCCCTTGTGCAGATGCTGAGCTTTAAGGGGTAAGAAACCCATGAGTGCTGCTGAACTCTGAAGCAGAGTTTAACTGAGAAGAAGCTGCTCCCTGCCTCAGCAGCTCAGATCTTGCCTGTAGCTTTGGTAGAAGACTCTGGTGTGATCTGTGTCCAGACAAATGGAGAGCTGAGTTCCAGCTCTCCTCTCTAAAGCCAGGGGTTACAGTGCAGGACAGACAAGCTTCCCAGCTATTGCTGTCACCTCTGCTAGCAGAGGATTGGTCCAACATGTCCAAGTTAAATTCCTGCCTGCGGCAGATGCGCATTCTGTAGGTGAAATACCCCAGGGAACTTTTATTCCTTGCAGTTTTGCCCATTTGGTTTTGCTTGCAAAGGCAATGCAGACTCAGTGCTGTTTGCTTTTCCAGCGAGCGCATCAGCATGCGCCAGTCCAAGGTGGACAAGCTCTATGCAGGCCTGAAGGACCTTGCAGAGGAGAGGAGGGGCAAGCTGGACGAGAGGCACCGGCTTTTCCAGCTCAACCGCGAGGTGGATGACCTGGAGCAGTGGATTGCCGAGAGGGAGGTGGTGGCAGGGTCCCACGAGCTGGGCCAGGACTACGAGCACGTCACGGTGAGTCCTTGGAGAGGCCTCTCTGGTGCTGCTCACAGGGGGTGTCTTGGCTCACTCAGCTCTCTCTAACCACAGTGCTGCATGAGGCTCTTTCTGTGCCTTCCAGATGCTGCAGGAGCGGTTCCGGGAGTTCGCCCGGGACACCGGGAACATCGGGCAGGAGCGGGTGGACACTGTCAACCACATGGCTGATGAGCTCATCAACTCCGGCCACTCGGACGCTGCCACGATCGCCGAGTGGAAGGACGGACTCAATGAGGCCTGGGCGGATCTCCTGGAGCTCATTGACACGAGAACACAAATCCTTGCAGCCTCTTATGAACTGCACAAATTTTACCACGATGCCAAGGAGATCTTAGGACGTATCCAAGACAAACATAAGAAACTGCCCGAGGAGCTTGGTAGAGACCAAAACACAGTGGAAACACTACAGAGAATGCACACGACGTTTGAGCACGATATCCAGGCCCTGGGCACCCAGGTGTGTGGCAGGTGAACTGTGGGTGTGGGAACCTGAGCTGCAGAGTTGGCTGCTGTCCTTGGCCCCTCTGTGGCTGGGAGACAGAGTGCTGCCAGCTGCTTCCCACCTGTAGTGCTGTGGGAATGGCCTCACCTGCATCCTTTTCTTATCTGTCTGGCTGCTGCTCTGTCACTGCATCGGGGTGATTATCTAAAGCAGCAATCTGTAAGTACACGGGCTTCTGAACATGTTGGCAGTGGTTGGATGTTATTCTGTTTCCTGTCCTTGGTTGAAGAAGAAATGAGAAAGGCAGAGGGCTTCTGTGTTGATTTAGAGTACAAGATATGAAGGAATGTATAAGCCCGGCTGGCTTTTTGACGTTTGGTTTTATTTTGGTTGGTCAGTTTAGGTTTTTTTGTTTTTAAAAACACCAAAAAGCCCAAATCAAACCCTTTGTACCAAGCACTGTTTATTTGTCCTTTCTGAGAGGCAAAGACCTACCCAGAGGCTTTCTGTCTTGGTTATGAACCTGGGCATTCTGAACTAAATATGGCCTTTCTTGGTGTGTCCCTAGAGCAAAAGAGATTTCAAATCCACAGTTCAGGCTAAGATTTTTAAAAGCATCCAAACTTGATCAAATTCTGAATTTTTGAAGCTAAGATATGCCAAGTAGAAGGTGGCAACTGCTCATACAGCACAGGGGGGATTCTAAATCAAAATACAACATTCAGCTGCCACAAGGAGAATTTGGGAAGGGAACAAGTTGCTTAAGGAATGGAGGAATTACAACTGACTGTATTTATCTCAGTAGGTCAGGAAAGAGCTTTTATGGCCCAGCTGCCAGCCAATTCTCTGTTATGTTGCAGTTTACATTAAAACAAAGGAGATAGAAAAAGCATTTGATTTTCCAGGTGTTTTACTTTCAGAAGCTGTAGATTTTATACAGAAAATGGGAGACATTCACAAAACATCAATCCCAGTCTCTCAAAAAGGTAATTATAATCAAGATCTAAGTGAAGGAATGTGTAATCACAGCACGGAGCTGTGGGCAAGGCACTTAGGATAATTTCTGGGTGAAACAGCCAGAGCACCAAGGTGGATCATTTTGAAAGAGGCATGGTCTCTGTGCCTGTAGGTAGAAGGCTGTTGATTTGATGTTAAAAAATATTAATTCTTAGACAAAAGCTAATGGAATGTTTCCTGGCTTGCAAAATATTGAAAGCAATCAGGAATTAGCAATTGCAATCCCAAGGCAGTGTTTGAAAGGAAAAGATTTCTAATAGTAGAAGGTTCTTAACATTTCCGCATTTTGTTCTCTTTGAAATCATTATCTACATTTTTGAAAAATAACCTCTGTCAGATGCATTAGTGGTTTGGATACCGAGTTCTCAGGTGCTTTTGTTTCTTGTATGAGAGGAAGGGAATTAGATGATGAAAATGGTCTCTGTTTGCCCTGACATGTAACAGACACTTGATTTTGACACTGTGTCTGGCAGCGGGTTCAGGCAGTGGCAAATCTTTGCTATTTTGAGGGTCCCTTGGCCCTACAGTGTTCTCTGAGGGATAATACTGGCTCACTAACAGCACAGACCTTTCTAGTGTGAACAGACCAAATCCATTTGCAGTGACATTAGAAAGCCTCTCAAGTGATGAATTAGCAGATAAATGTCCCTGTTGCTGTGACTCAGGAGTCACAAACCCACTGATGGCTTTGTCTCTCCCAACCTGCTGCAGGTGCGACAGCTGCAGGAGGATGCAGCGCGCCTCCAGGCTGCCTACGCCGGGGACAAGGCTGATGACATCCAGAAGAGGGAAAACGAGGTCCTAGAGGCATGGAAGGCACTGCTGGATGCCTGTGAAGGCCGCAGGGTGAGGCTGGTGGACACAGGAGACAAATTCCGCTTCTTCAGCATGGTTCGGGATCTCATGCTCTGGATGGAAGATGTTATCCGGCAGATAGAAGCCCAGGAAAAGCCAAGGTAATGCAAGGCATCCCTTCTCCGTCTGAAGATAAGGCTGCAGGTCACCTGAGGAACATCTGTGGGGCTCAGTATCACTGAGAGTGGCTTTCAGAGCCTGCTGCTGCAGCGACTTGCTCATGTGGGTGGCTGCTGGAATAATTGCCATGGAAAATTGTACCCAGAGAGATCTGGTCTCACACCGGGGTGATTTGATCTCTGATTCAGGCCAGAATGGTGCTGTTCCTTGGGAAAGGCTTCCTGACCTACAAAGACAATCTAGGAATCAATTTTTTCCTTATGGAGTTGTGGGTCAGTTTTAAAAATGTAGCAACTGTTGAATCAGAAATCTGTGTTTCTGTTCATTTTAGGGATGTTTCATCTGTGGAACTGCTCATGAACAATCACCAGGGGATCAAAGCAGAAATTGATGCCCGAAATGACAGCTTCACTACGTGTATTGAGCTTGGCAAGTCTCTGCTGGCCAGGAAACATTATGCATCTGAGGAGGTACCGTGCTCCCTGCATACAGCCATGGGCTCCTGGGGGTTCTTTACAAGGGAGAAACCTGCCCTGTGTCACCCACAGGGGAATAATGACAAGTGTCACCTTAGGGACTAGTGCACTCATGTGCTGTTGGGACATCAGGGTATAAATTCACTCTGGCAATTCATGGTGGGTAACAGAGGTGACATCAGGATTTAAAGTGTTATTTTCAGCCCAGAAAATGCAAAGAAGTTGCTGCATTCCATTCTGCAGAGAATAGCTCTGGGATAGAAGGGTGTCTTCCTTGAGCAAGGGCAGAGGCAGCTGTGAGACAGCCTGAACTTCCTGCAGGGAAAATGGAATGCTGTGGAGAGGCCTGCTAGGGGAATGAGCAGGAAAATGTTTGTTGTATAGGGACTAAATTCAAGGAATATTAAGAGAACCACATCCAACTGCTGAAAGCCTTGATTTATTTTCTGAGGTGTCTAGGCCACAGGATAGAGGCTCAGACCTTTCTTCTCATGCCTCCCTTTGGGGAAGGGAGGGTAACCAAACATTGTGAGGCACTTCCCTCTCAGGAAGGGGAGAGCTTCTGCAACAGTCCTGAACAGCATTATTATTATTATTTTGCATTATTCACTGGAAAAGGGTAGAAGATTCAGTGCCTGATTGCACTATTTACATTTGTTTGCCCATTACACCCTTTTATCAAATACTCCGTGTGCTGTGGCTTTTAACAGACACTGAATGCTTATGCAAATGTGATATTTTAATGGAAATGTCACATTTATTTATACTTGGAAGAGAAAAACAGCTGTTGTTTGCACGGTGAAGTCACTTCCTGAGGAATTTGTGCAGTGTCTGTCAGTGCAGGGTTGGGGGGAACTGCTGCCTGCTGCTTTTGTAACAGCCCTGCTCTCTGCTCTCCATCCAGATCAAGGAAAAGCTCCTGCAGCTGACAGAAAAGAGAAAAGAAATGATTGACAAATGGGAAGACAGATGGGAGTGGCTGAGACTGAGTAAGGACACCCTTGGATTTCTTTTGGGCTGGGCCTTATCTAACTTTCTTCATTGTGCCTTCTGTGCATTGAAAAAAACCTGCAGCTTCTGGCTTTTCTGTTACAGTGCTTGGAAGTGTGTTTGTGCTGGAATAGCTGCAAGGTTCACACCTGTTTGTTGTTAAATAATGAATTTGAAACCAAGAAACCCTCACCAAAGGTCTTGCTCTATGTGATCAAATTTGGAGCTCAGTGCAGTAGCTCCAAATTTGCAGGTGTCACATTCCAATTTCTATGCTGAAATTAGTAAGTTACAGCAGATTAGAACAAAAAACCACACTAAATTTGCGAAATGAAACTTGCATTTTTCCTAAACTTGCATTTCCAGGAGAAATGTCAGTCTTTTCAGTGACCAGTTTCACTGAACTTAGCTAAGGGGAACACTTAGCCAGGTGCCTGTACTTTGTTCCCTGAGCTGGGTTTGGTAAATCCCAAAGCTGCCTGATAACTCCACGATGCTCTTCTTTGTGACATTAATGGCACTGACACCTGTGCCCTCTCTGCTCAGTTTTGGAGGTGCACCAGTTCTCCAGAGATGCAAGCGTGGCTGAGGCCTGGCTGCTGGGACAGGAGCCCTACCTGTCCAGCCGTGAAATAGGGCAGAGCGTTGATGAGGTGGAGAAATTAATCAAGCGGCACGAAGCGTTTGAGAAATCCGCAGCTACCTGGGACGAGAGGTTTGCAGCACTGGAGAGACTGACCACGGTGAGTGTCTGAACCTGCCTGGCCATTCCTGGTGCTGTGGAACAACTCCCAGCATCACCAACTTCATCTCCATCTTTTGGTTGTTTGTTGATCATGCTCAGCCAGTGACACAGAGCCTGAAGTTTCCTATTTCCAGCCATACTAAAAACCCTCTTCAGTTAATTTGAACTCAACAATCTGGAGGGAAAAAGCCTAAATGATAAATGACCTTAAGAGTCAGCAGGAGCTGTCTCAAGCCTGGGTGTGATGACCCAGAAGAAAATTTCAGTTTGCTCCAGCCCTCTGCTGTACTGCTTGTCCAGTTATTTTTGGTTAAAGATGACAGTGCTGGGAAGGGGGCAGTGACAGTGATTTTTGTTGTGTTGTGACTGCTCCAGTGCAGGGCTCTATTGTCCTCTAGGAAGACACAATGAGCAAAAACAAACCCAAACCCCAATTTGAACACAACTGCAGTGTCAGTCATTAATGCTTGGAGAGCATTTTACCATATTTGGAGAACAATTTGGCTTTACACACTAAGTTGAAGTGGCCTGGGTTTTCACACACACTGAGTGTCACAGCTGCAGACAAAAGGAACTGGAGTTTCTCAGCATCTTCACAAATCAGGCTGGCTTTATGGAGATGGGTAATTTCAGGGATTCAGACAGGAAACATTTTATTTCTGTGTTTGGCAAGCAGACAAGAAGATGTCACTTTTGGATATTTTAATAACTTGGGCTGTTTTCTTGTTTGTCTGGGTTTTGTTCTAATAGAATGAGTTGGAAAATAGACATGGCCAGTGGAGAGCTGCTGTCAGAGGGTCTGATGCTGATGCCCTGCCTGACAAATTCAGTGCCACAAATGCTTGGAGGGGGGGAGTGTGACTGTGGACAAATAAAAGCCTTAAGGTTAGTTTGTATAACATTCCATGCAGAATGGACTCATTGACTGCAGAGACAAATAAACGTGAAATAAACCATTCAAAACCAGTATCTAGATTTATCTGGGAGTTTAGTCCTCATGCAGAGCTGTGATCTTGCTGTGTTGGGGCTCCATTTGGCCTCAGTCCTGTCCAGCTGGCACTTCAGCAATTTTATTTCTGGGCACCAGAGAGGCAGGGGTGTAAATGAGAGCAGAGTGTAACCCCTTGGGGAGAGGATATAATGCTTTCCTTTAAAAACTAAATAAAATACACTAAGATCCCAGCTCTTTATTTTACATAGGTGCAGGCTGAATGCTCCATGCCTTACTCACTCCTTCTTGACAAGGGGTGTCCCAGTGGAGTCAGGATGCATGCCAAGAATCCTCACATGCAGCCATGACAATGCCAGTAAATGTCCCTGGAGTTAATGCAATGCAGGAGCTGAATCTGGCTCCCCTCCCCACCCCCTTCCTGCAGAGCCTCCTTGTTTCAGTTATTGCTTTGAGTGAAAGGACACTTCTCTGTTGCTGAGCCTGGCTCTCTGGGGTCACATTCAGTGCAGGAAAGGCTCCTGGCAGGCTGGGATCTGTGGATATCAGGGCTCTTACAGTGCTGCAGAGCAAACACGAGTCCCAGCCGAGGGCTCTGGCAGGAAATGCCTTTCAGCACAAGTTTGGCTTTAAGAAGCCCATCCTAGTTAGGTCTGAGTCTGCACACACACTCTGCCAATGCTCCCCAGTACACAGCAGTTCCTTTCTCTTTCTGGAAATAAGACTTTTTGGTTCTTCTTTAGTATTCAGCCCTGAAGTGAGCTGTTGCACATTCTAATGTTTATAAATTCTCTACAGTTGTGGCAGGGAATGTGAGGCGCACATCCCAGATAACCATCTTGTTGGTTAGCACAGCTTTACACATCACCTGTTTGCTTCTTTTGAAATTTTATTTTATTGCCATGCTACATGATGCATTTCCATGTTCATCTTTGCCATCTGCACTTCAGTCTTCCATGAGAACTTCCGAGCTCAGTTTGTTGAGTCCTGTGTTGCAATACCTTGGGTGTACAGAGCTGTGTCAGTGAGGCACAAGATGTGCTGCTGTTGGTCAGAATTTTGATTTCTGACAACTGGCTGAGCAGGGCAGCTGGATTGTTCTGTGTGGGCTGAGCTTGTGAACTGAGAGCGGTGATTGAAAGGATGTGCTTCAGTAACTGTACTTTTGTCTTTCCACTTCATGATGCATGTTTTGTTTTTGTTTTTTTTTTTTTTCTTTTGTCAGGATAACAACATATAGTTTCTTAATGCTTTTAAAAATTCCATATGAATTTATGGGGATGCTCTGGTGGCTGCCCTGTGCCTTGAAAGTGTTCCCAGGGCAGGGTAGCTGTAGCTTCAGACTCCACCATCTGCAGAGCCTTCACGTGTGTTTTGGTGAAAAAAGTAGTCTGTAGAAGGAATTTATAGAGATAGATTTTTAAAATTTGTATTAGTACACACATAAAAATTCCACTTTTATGACAATGAAGAAAAAGTAAGTCATTGATTAAGGTCATCATTTCAGGCACTAGAAGAATAGGATTTTGCCTATTTTTTGCAGCCTGTGGGTCTGGCCAAAGACATTAGGAAAGTTCTTTTGAGAGAACAGCCTAGAGGTTGGCATCTCTTTGCATCTGCACCAGGCAAATCATCTGGTTCTTCATCTGTGGGGCAGAGCCTTGAGTGGATGAACTGAGCAGATGTTGCTTCAAGCACTGCGAAATCCAAAGGGGCACCTGTGTCATTGTCACCACACTGTCTTGTTGCATGTCCCAGTCCTGCTTTAAAGATTTCCAGAGTAGCCTGTAGCCACTAAAGCACTTCCAACTAACCCCTCAGGCCCCACTGAGAGAACTGTATCATGTACACGAGACCTGTTGTGTTGTAACAGGAGTTTGCTGTTGCTGTTTGTCCTCCGTGCGTTGTCTCCGCATGCCCCACGCATGTTTCCATTAAAGTGTGTTCAGCTCCCGTTTTTTCTCCGTTTTCATGACACATCCTTCGCAGAGCCGTTCTTGATTTATTCTGCTTGTTTTCTGTTAATTGTAGATAACACGTGAAAGGAAATAAAACCTGAAAGAGCATCAGAAAAGCTTTTCATAGCCCTTTTACAACCGGTAGAATTTGACATAGAAGGTGCAGGTCTGATGATGTAATAAAGTTGGCAGTTACTTTTCAAAGCCACAGGGTTGCAGCACTGAATTCCATATTATTTCCTATAAAATATGTTGAGCAGCTGTGCAGTGGCTGCTGGTTTGAAACTGGTCTAGTTTACCTCAGATTAGAGGTTCTAGGTACCCCCAAGGCAGTCCTGTTTTCACATCTGGCTGGTACTGCTCCAGCAAATGCACTGCTTTCTGTGTCAGTGCAGGTGCCAGGTATTTCTGGGGAGTTTATTTAAGTTGTGGAGATGAGTTCCTGTGGGTTGTGTGATTCCTCAGTGCTGGTAAGAGGTGTCAGGTCCCCCAGACAGGGCTCCAGCCAGCAGCAAAGCAGAGTTTGAGGTTCAGGAGCTGCAGTGGACAGAAAGGTGTGCAAATGGCTCTCCTTGTTCTTGAAGGGATCTGTTGGCTGTGGGTGGTTGAAACGGGTGATGAATGGTGACTCAGGGGTTGTTCATTCCATTACCTATGTTCTGGCAGTGTTTGGATAAACTTCAGCCTCATCTATTTACCCTCTCCCCCACTTTAATGCAACATTTTTGTTATATTTTGAGATTTGGGTACAAGTAGTGAGGGTTGATGGCTTAGCTTGATCCTAATTGTGAAGGAGCAGTGTAAGGCTATGTGTCTTTAGGGACAGGGTAAACCAGATCTGACTGAAGTGCAATGTGAGCTGTGATTCTCTCTCTGTTTAAGGGCACAGTGTCTGTACTCTGGAGGTTTAGATTGCTAAAGGCAGTTAACCAATCCTTCCCATGGTCAGAGCAAGCTGACACTCAGATCTTTATAGGCCAATGGTGAGGTACAAGGTGTGAGGCACAATAATGGATACTGGGCAGGTGTAAGAAGTTCTAGCAAATGGTGGCAAAATTGAGTTTGTTGCATAATAATTTGGCTGCTTTTGATTTGTCCAGGCCATGTGCAGAAGTAGGAATGTCTAATTATTGTGCCATTCACAAAAACCTGCTTGTCTGCATAAAACCAGTCCAGAATGTTTGTAATCTACTAGAGCATTAGCAGCACTGAGCTTTAGTAACTTGCTAATAATAATCCTACACACTGGTTGTGTAACTCCTGAGCTGCTACCAACGGCTCTACACGTCAAAGTAATGGTACAAGAAAAAAAAACAAAACTGGGACCAAGCTGCATTTCAAAAGCTTATAGCCATTAGGATTCCAATTTAAATGATTTTTGGATGAATGGCTCCTGAAGACGTCGCCAGCTTGACCAGTGAGAGCTGCTGGAAACACGGCTGCTCTCTAGGCTATCGATCCCAGTGCACCAGGCAACGCGACCAACAAAGCAAGTGATGGGCAAGGCCTTGGTTCTGTCTTTGTTTGGGGGTAAATAGCTGTGTGATGCTGTGTGACTGTGGTGGTTTTCAGTTCCTTTAACCAAAATCCAATCCACCTAATAACGCCAGTCTGAACCAGACCTCGATCAATTGACACGTGACCTCATTCCCCTTGTCTTTACGATCCAATATCCTAACTGGGATGGTGGAGATGCATGGTGTAATCTTTCTAATTTCTGCATGTTTTGATTTTGTTGTGTCACTAGGGGAACTGGGGAAAGCGGGAAAGGAGCTTTTACAGAAACAAATCAATTGCACACATTTTTGTAAATGCTCCTGGGCGATTGTGACATCTTTCTCTGCTGACTCATAGTTAATACCTTTTATGGACCTTTAATGCCCCAGTAATGCCATAAATGTACTTAAGGTGGCTGATGTGTATAACTTCTACTGTTCCTCTAGGTTTGCAGAAAGTGTGATTGTTACTGTTCCAAACATTTGAGTACTTAGCAACAGAATTAAATGCTCTCATTCTAGGAATAACAATATATAAAAGAATTGACCAGCAGAGCAAAGCACAGTAAAATTCACACTGATGTTCAGCTGCTTTTATTTTCCCATCTCTCCACCTATAAAATGGGTACTAATCCATTCCTACCTCCTAATTTCCTTGGCCTCCTGTGTCTTCATGGAGTGCGAGAAAGAACTTACTGGCCTGTGTCATTGTCCAGGCAAAGTTTATACACAGCCACGTTGTGCAGGGAGACAGATTAACTGCAGAATGCCTCAGTGCTGGGAGCTTTCTGGCTGAACGTGTTTTCCACTGTTCCTAGGTGGCAGAAACTGCAGAAACCAACGAAATGGTCAATGGAGCTGCAGAACAGAGGACGAGTTCCAAAGAGTCCAGCCCCATTCCTTCCCCGACGTCAGACCGCAAAGCCAAGAGCGGCGTTCAGGCCCAGACTGCTGCAACCCTCCCAGCCAAAACGCAGGAGATCCCCTCAGCCCAGATGGAGGGCTTCTTACACCGCAAGCACGAGTGGGAGACACACAGCAAGAAAGCCTCCAGCAGGTACAGTGCCCGATGTGCCACACAGGCAGGGCAGCCCAGGGCTCTGCCCAAGAAGGCACACAACCATCTCCAGCCTTCTTTCAGCTCCCAGAGACCTCCCAGGCTCCTGTTGCTGTAGGGGTGGGGCTGCAGGGCTGAACAGCGCCTGTGAGGAACTGCAGTCTGAAGATAGTTGGTACAAAAGGCAGCGTTAGCCACGTTTGTCAGGTGGGAAACTGAGGCAGAGAGATACCACGAATTTCCCACTCCACATGATGGATTTGTGTCAGTAGTGGGATTTGATTCCAGATCTCTCAAGTTGTATGTTACCACAAGAAAAGAAAACCACGTAGGTGTGAGACTAGAAATGTTCATATTCTTCTGACATTTTCTATTTGCACATTACCACTTTCCACCTACTCTGTAATCTGCTCAGCATGAACAGAGGACGATTGGTGTCCCATCGTCAATTCCATTCCCAAGGAATGTCCTGCAGGTCTCAAACAGGCAGAACTTTGAGATTTGTCTGTGCTGAAAAAGCTGACTGGGGTCAGCTGAGACAACTCTTGAAACCAGGTTTATAACTTGGCTGACAAGGGAAATGTTCATAACAAATGCTGAGCTGCAGCAACATCTGTGGGATTTGGTAGGAGCCAAAGCACTTGGCAGAGCTGAGATCTCAAATGATCAGTACCAGGATTTTTGTGCCACCGGAGTTGTTCACACCAGACAACACTGAGGCAGTGACAGCCACCAGTACCAGTGTCTGGGTATTCCTATTTCCAGTAATTGCTAATTTTCACAGTTCTATTAGAGAACGAGGTGGATGATGCCACTAAGAGTATTTGTGTCAATCAAGGATTTCACACACAGTCCGTTCCATTCCATTCATCATTTTGCAGCACAGTGAGAATTCCTTCTACAACAGAGCACTGCCATTAAAAGGTCAATCATTTTCTGTCTCAAGAATGCAAAATACCCATTCTGCCAAACAGTCCTCCCACTGTGAGGACAGGCTGATGTGCTGTCACAGGGAGCTCTGGGAATCTCAGATCCCTTTGGCTTTTGTCTGGAAGCTGTGCTTTCATGAAAGAATTCCTTGTCTACAGTTCATGGGACAGCATAGGCTGTATTCACATCCTCACACAACCAATCTCCATTATCTTACAGAAGTAATGGCGTTTGGTTTTTCCAGTTCTGCAGGTGAGAGCATTGGATTTGTAACTGCTCTTGTTGTTTCCCATGTCTCAAAGGTCATGGCATAACGTGTACTGTGTCATAAACAACCAAGAGATGGGCTTCTACAAGGACTCAAAAGCTGCTGCTTCTGGCATCCCTTACCACAACGAGATCCCTGTCAGTTTGAAGGACGCAGTCTGCGAAGTAGCAGTCGATTACAAAAAGAAGAAGCATGTGTTCAAGCTCAGGTAAGCCTGGGGCAGTGCTGTGCCCCTGGGGAAAGCCATGGTGGGTGTGTTCACTGGGAAACCCAGCCCAGGAGCTGACCATGAATGTTAACTGCAGCACCTGCTTTTCTGAGCAAGCTCTTTCTGTCCCTGAGCTGTGGGCTGTTCATCAGAGTGAGCAAGCACCAAACAGTGTTGCAGTAATCAGAGCACTTTCATCTGGGACAAGACCAGATGTGTGTGCCTGCAGCTGGGGGCCTGCATTTCACAGTGCTGGGTTTTTCAGCTGCTCCCTCTGGAACTGGTGGAGAGCAGTGATCATGGTTCTGCTCTTTTCCAAATCAAGCCTCTTGTTTAATTTTTTCAGTATGAATTTAGGAGACTACTGAACACATATCACATATTCAGGTCTGGAATATATAGTTACAGACCATTTCACTCAAATATGTGAAAGGCCTGTTGCTCAAAAGTTTAAAAAAAGGCTTTTCCTTGGGAAACTCTTTAGTTTAATGAGCAATCTTCTTGTGCCAACAGTTAAAAAATATTTATCATTACATAGCTGTGAGGTAATCCTGTCACAGAAGACTGACTTTATGAACTGATTGGTTCACGTATTCCAACACAGGTGTTTTGGAGTTTTTTGGCAGAGCAGGGGGGGTGGTGGTGGTGGTGGTGTTTTATATTGGTACAGGAATCCTCTAAAGATCAGAGAATCCCTATATGGGGAAAATTTGCTTTGTAGAAAATATATGTGGAAATATATAGCAAATATTTAGAGAAATGTACCTTTCTTGAAGACAGGCCTGCAGCTATGTGATTCATCCTTTAGACTATTTTAAACCTCTCTGAATTGCTAATGGAAGTGTATGCTGTTCCAAATCCAAAATTAGGCAGAAAAAACAACTGCCCTTTTTTCCCAGTGCTCCGTCACCTGCATCAGGCCCCTTGGATACTTGCATGTAGATATTTCCTCTACTCAAGCACTCTTATTTTACTATTTAATCATTAATTTCATTTCATTAAGAGTTTTTTAAATGCTTGCTTTTTGTTGGGAAAGATGGGGAAACCTGCAGCAGAGCTCCTGCTGCCCCTGCCTCCTGCTTGTTCTGGTGATATTCAGTTGTTTTTTCATTTTTATGTATCATCACGTTGTTAAATGTATCCCATTTAAACCTGGAATCAAACGAAGGGAGACTCTGGCCTTCACTGTGAGGAGAGGCAGCTGCTCATCACTAACACTCAGAGCAGGACCTTGAGGCAGCACCACCATAGGTACAAGAGCAGAGCAGCTGCAGGATTTTTTTTTTTAAATTTTCCTTCAATTTTGCAGGATTTCCCAGGAGCCTGAAACTCTGGGTGCTGCTTGTGACATTTTTCTTTTGAAAGTATTGAGTAAACTTTGATAATGTGTTTTGCAAAGGAGAAAAGATGTACCTGAAAGAGCAAATACTGAGCCAGCAGCCACATGGGAACACGAGCACCACCCTGAACATGTCCAGAGCCCAGAATTACTACGTGTGTGGCTGCAGCAGGGGTTGTTGGGGGCATTTGGCACGTGGTCACTGTCCCGTGCAGTCCTGTGTGCCTTGTGCTGCTCATGTGCTGTAGCCAAACAAGCAGGAGTTGCAACACTGTGACCACTACTGAGCTAATTTGTGATGGTGTTTTCTTTCCAGATTGACCGATGGCAACGAATACCTCTTCCAAGCCAAAGACGATGTAAGTGTGCTTTTCTTGTGGTTTGTTACTGTGCTGTCTGTGCTGCTGTGCCATGGGGAGAAGCAGCTGCTAAGAGCTGCTGTGCACTCTGTGTGTGGGTGATGCATAGGCCCAGGGCTGCTCAGGTACAGCCTCTAGGAAGTGTCTCTGGAGGTGCACAGCCTGAGGGATGAGCTGGGGCTGGTTTTCCTTGCATTTCCACCTGTGTCTGTTCCCCCTCTGCACTGTCACGGGAGTCAGAGGGGTGTGCTGGTTGTAACACTTTTGTGCCTCTGGGGCTTCTTGAAGGAGGAGATGAACACGTGGATTCAGGCCATCACATCAGCGATCTCTTCGGACAAAATCGAAGTGTCCCCGACCACCCAGAGCACTCCAGCCTCCAGCCGTGCCCAGACCCTGCCTGCCAGCGTCACAATAACCAGCGAGTCCAGCCCTGGCAAGAGGGAGAAAGACAAAGAGAAAGACAAAGAGAAAAGATTCAGCCTTTTTGGTAAAAAGAAGTGAATTCCATCTCCACACACTGCACTTCTCTGACCGTTCCAGTGGAATTCCAGCATGCGAGCTCAGAACCAATACGTTACTCTCTGTGCCTCATGTTCCTCAATGTGATTGACATTTTTTTATTTATAGAGCGTTTTAAAATAAAAAAAGCCAACAAAAAAAAAAAAGAATCTAAAGTTACAAACGTATGAGGTGCATTGGGCAGCTTCTGTAGGAGAGGGAGGACCAGGTTTTGGGGGTTTGTTTTTGTTTGGGTTTTTTGTTTTTTGTTTTTTTTTTTTTTTTTAAATGAAGTTAATGTAGATTAGATCTTAATATTTAAACTGTTCCTCAATTTTGTGAGGCTGTCTTGGAAAATAACCCACTCCTAGTGCTATTGGTATGCAAGGCAGCGGTGCTTTCGAATCTACTGTGCACATGAGAAACCAATGTACAAATTCTCAAAGGCATTCACTTCCAGTTAAGGTTGTTATGCTGAGTCCTGGCTAGTAGAGCCTTCCCCTGCGATTCTAACAGGAATTAAAATGGTAGTGTGTTCTCTTTGCTGTAACAGAGTGCAGGTATGCGTTGACTCACAGCCCAAGGTTTGTTTAACACCACCCGAAGCGTCCCCGCATCGAGTACGACAGATAAGAATGTTGGTGTTCAAGATGGATTAACAGGCTGGTACAGTTTTAAATAAGCTGTAATTTCAAATTTCTTTTTTTTTTTTTTTTTTTTTTTTTCCGAAATACATTATATTGTATGTTTCAGATAATTCTAGTACAAAGTATAATAAGACTAGATGTATAATAAACCCTTTAAAATCATCAATAAGTGTAAAAGTGGAACTGAAGCATTTACTGGAAAAGTAATGTTACTCAAATGGTTACTTGCTTGTCAGCTGCAGCACTGTGTGTTATAATTTTGCTACATTACCTTGCTCTTTGATACATAGTGTGCATTTCTGTCACTGTAACTATTGTAATGAAAAATTTTCATCTTACTGCACAATCAAAAATTACATTTAATAGGAATGAACTTTCAATGACTGGGCCTGTAGTCAAGAGTAGTACTGGAACTGGCTTTCAGTTGTATCGAACTGTACCTCTAGACTTTTACCCTATCTGTTAAATATATGCGATGTCATTAAATGCTTTTAAAACTAAATATGCTGGGTAAGTTTCTTATTTCATTTCTGACAATGTTAAATCATAATTTTGAAAGAGGATCAAAAATAAAGTTATTTTAAAATGTCATCTCTCCTGTGCACTGAAAGTGATGTCTTCAAATGTAATCCCATTCTTTTGTGCGAAAGTTCATTCTGAAATAGTTGTTTTCTCTCTTCCCACTTTTCTTTCCCTTCACTTCCCACCTGCCCTCCCTTTTACCCTGCCTCCCAAATTAAGTGCCAAAAATAAAGAGAAAAGGAATTAAATGAATATTTTGAAAAATATTCTGATATAGATACTTTTTGTGGGAAGCGAAACCGGCAGAGTGGATGGGAGTAAGCACATCAGAGGCTGGGCAATGGAGTTCCCTGAACATTTACCCGATGGAGGTAAAGCTCCATGTTCCAGCTGGCAGCAAAAGGACATCATTTTGAGTAAGCACCAGTCTCCAACTTCCTGCCCACCTTTTGCTCAAGTGCTTGCATCCTTTCCTTACCTTGGATGCCACCTAGGGAATCATCTAATAGGAACAGCTCTAAGAAGCTCCAATACATTTTAAAGTCAATGAAATTTAAGGAACCCGGGTTTTAATGTACTGTGATTGTTAAAATCCACTCAAATATTATTTTTGGTAGAAAGCAGATAAACTGCAAACTCACGTGTTTCCAAGTGACAGTTTCCTGAACATGTGACCAATACAGTGTCTTAAATTATTTTCATGGAGTGTACAGTGTTCTCTGAGTTTTTCTTGTTTTCCAAAGCTTTTGGTTATTAAACAATGGAGTATTCATGTACACAAGCTTTTACTCTGTAATGGTATGTTGTTCAGTCTAATTATTAGTAAAATGTAGGCTAACACTGCTAGTAATGTAAATGTAAAATTTAATACATTAGAAAAAGCTGAAGTTTAGCCTTATTAGAGACTATGAAACAATTTTCTGAGTTGATTAACGTGCACAGAGATGTTGATGCCTTACATATGTGTCGCTTCAACTGAGCTGGTGCAGTGAGCAGTCAGGCAGATGGATCTCGACAGCCTGTGGTGTGTGGTTCTGTAGTGATTTGGTTGAATATTGCATTTAGAGTTGTTTTCTTGTTTGTCTCACTCCTTACTGGAAGCTATTCCCAAGAATGACTTGAATAAAAATCCTTTCTGCTTAGGGACTGATTGGAAGTTGCTGAGGGGCAGGAGTGAATCCCAGTAAGCCTTGGAGCCTCAGGAAGCAGAGAGAAGTCAGGAGGAGCCTCCCTGGACAGAGCCAAGTCAGAGAAGTCAGGTCAGAGCACACACCCGTGTGCCAGGGCAGGAGGGAGAGAAGTGAGGGAATCTCTTGGACCGTGTGAAGGGAGGGACTGCTGCTGGAAAATACCAGGGGAAGAGGAAACTGAAAGGTGGGTGATGGAAATGGGGCTGAAACTGGAGCAGGCTGTCACTCCCACCGGTGTCACCTGCTCGGAAATGGCCGTGACACTTTCTGCATTGCACCAGTGACCTTGGCTGGACCTCTGACAGATGGAATGTTCTGTTCCTCCTGGAGCTGCACTGAAGGGTGAGGATATCTAGTAGAGAGTACACATTACTGCAGCTGTTTTGTACCTAAGTTGTGATATTTCCTCTGGAGACACAGTGCAGATGTCACACAAAACCTGAAGATTTTCAAAGAAAATTAATTAAGGCAAACTACTTCCCAGCTGTGTTGCTTGTCATTGATAAGAGCAGGAATTGTCCTGTAGTCAGGTCAGTCTCCTTTTTTCCATCTTGGAGGGACCCTCACATCACGTTCTAAGTTGAGGGAAGGTGTCAGAGGGTCCTTCCCATATCCAGGCAAATTGAGCACAATGTGGGGGAAAAATACAGCACTCTAGCCATCAGAATTCTGTATGGGTTGGTGGGAGGGTTTTCTTTTAGATTAATGCAAATAATCTGTTAATCCATCTCTTCTGCACAGAGAATATATTCTGTGGTAAGGCTGTACTTTGTATGAGGAAGATTAATGGTAATGGTTAAGGAAAATAAAGGAATTTTCATTATTATTATTATGTCCTGGTGAAATATTGGTTTAGATGTTTTTTCCCTTCACCATGGTCTCCTTTCTTATGGTTGACTTCTTAGACTTTAAATGGGTACGGTCTTTCAGAATCTACCTTTGCAATAAATAACTTGCAGGTATGAGAGTTTTGCTATTTTTGGTGGCTGGTTTTTTTTGTTGTTGTTTTTTGTTGGTTTTGTTTTTTCCTACCTTTGCTAATCACAGGTGGCTGAAGAAATACAGAACCTTAAATCCCAATGAGTGGGAACAACCATTAGTCCTTTTCATTTAAAAAAAAAAAAAACATAATCAGAAAATGAGCCTGTGATTACTGTTAAGAATGAAATTACCGGAAGAAGCGCACACCTCAGCCCTGTCCGTGGGCTTGCCGCCCCTCAGCAAGTGGCTGCTGGAGCTCCGGGAGCGGGCGCGGCGCCGCGGAAGGGGCGCAGGGCTGGCCAGCGCCTCCGCTGCCGTCCCCGGGCGCCGCCCGAGCCGCACGTGGGCGCATCCGCAGTGTGTCATAATGCAGCACGGCCCGCCCGCAGCCACCGCGGGCCGGGCAGCCCCGGGACACCGAACGGGGACTCCGAACGGGCTGCTTGGCATTCTGACTCCTTGTGGAATGAAAGGAAAGCGTTTGGGGCCTGCCGGATCCTCCCCTGCTCAGCACCACCCCCCAGCTGATCAGCCTGGTGGTGGCGAACACCACAGCTACAGTGCAGCGTGAATACACATTTGTCTGTGTCTGAAAGATCATTTACTTTCTGTTCCAAAGAAAGGAATGTCGCACAATACTCTTTCTCCGTTAGATGAGACGCTGGGGTGGCTCATTGCGTTGTAACGGCAAAAATTATCTGGGGCTAACACGAATTTTGTTACAAGTGTGTTGTTGCTACCGCTGTTCCTCTCCTCCCACGCCCAGCTGAGGCAGAACTGTCCCTTGCTCACCGAGTGCCAGCACCGTCCATGAGAGGTCACTGTACCCAGGGAGATGCGGCGGAGCCGCTGCCACCGGGACCGCACACCGAGGGTGATTGGTAAGCTCGGGAGAACGAAGAGCTCGGATCCAAGTTCTCTTCGCTCAGAAAGTCAGATTTCTAAGGAATTATGTAAACCCGTGGCAAGATTTAGACATGTCTCAGCTGAATCGTCGTAGGAGGGAAGTTGAGTCAAGTATGGCAGCCAGAATACAGAAAGGTGAGGAGCTCCACCATCCTTGCTGTGGCAGGAAAAAAGGAGATTCTGTGGGAAGATCAAGCTTTCTGCAGCGATTTTAAATCGGTCCCTGAGGCTCCATGAAGCTCTGGCAGACAGGCAGCTCCCAGGCTGGATGAAGGCAGGCAGTACCCCGTGAGAGAGGGGTCTGGGGTACCTTGGGCTGTGTGTCAGGGTGCAGAGGTGTGATGGGTAGGTTTGATCCATCTGCTGTTCCTGGCTGTCCTGCACAGCTCTGGGACAGCAGCAGAACCACTCTGTCGTGGCTGGTCAGGACTTTCCCTCCAGGCCGGTTCTGGAAAGAGCCCGGTCTGCCAGGTCTCTCCGAAATGGGCATGAGGATAGAAAAGGCTCTATTTTTTGTTTTCTCCTTTTTTCCTAACACTGTTTCTGGCCAGATCCAAGCATTTCATTAATTCAAATCAGTATTTCTGCCCACAAGGAATAAGAGCTTGGAGCCAATTCCCCTGTTATGATTTTGTAGTTAAATTGTAAAATCACCGAGAGGCATCAGTCAGGATTGGATTAATGTAATACCAGGCAACAAATAAACAGAACTAGATCACAGCTCCTGCTTCTGATCCCTCCCCTGAGTTATTAGGGATTTTATATAATTTCAAAAAGTATTTGCAGCTCAAATAAGAGGTACCAATTTTGAAATACCAATTAATATGCCATCTCTGTGCATCTGCTGTACATTCATCCATAAAAATATGGGTTATAAAGGCTATTTTGTGGAACAGAGATCTGGGATATAAGACAGATGTTTCTGGGAGGGAAAACCTCAGTTTTCATTGTTAATCACAGCTCTTGGATATGTACAGAGTGGGCAGGATGTATCACAGAGGATTGGAGTTCATTTGAGATGTGGTGCTTTCTGGCATCTTCTACACAAGGCTTGCTTCAAAGCAAACCAAACAAAAAACCAACCAAGCAAAGAAACAAAAAAAACCAAAAACCCAACCCCAAAGCCCTCAAAAAATGCAACAGCAGCAGCAAATGGTCACTTTGCCAGAGTGGTGACTGTCACTCAGGTACTACTTGTCCAAGGTGCTATATTAGTTGGTTTTTACACTTCATATATAAAATAAAAAAGTAGTAAAGTCACAGGATATGTGTTCCCAGCCAATGGGCTCCTTTCCACAATGAGGAGGAAAAATGCTGCTGCTATTATCAATTTTTATGTCTCTTTTAATGAAGTTCTTCAGTATAGTTTAAAACATTCATTTTTACACTTATGTGAAATTGGAAGTATATTCAGACTCCTCCTTTTTTAACTTAGGTTCACACTTTATCTTAGTTTGCGTTACTCCTTCCATTCTCTTTGTGATGCTGAGGGCTCCAGAACCTGGAATTAACACCCAAAAAACAGCCCATGAGAGCATCCAGGATATTTATGTTGCGCTGACAGTGAACAGCAGGCTGCAGCATTGAGGAACATTCTCAGCAACATGACAGCTCCTAATAGGAAAGTAATAATGCCTTTTTGTTTAATTGCAAAAAAATTACACAAAAGCTCATGCTTAAATTAATTAAATTAATTCAACCACCATCAAAAAACTACCAAATTTTTGGGAGTACAAATTATAGAAAAATGAATTAAACCGAACTTGTGTTGGTTCACATGTTTAAGGTTTTTCCTTGAGGTTTTTATGGGGTGTTCATTCATGACTAGTGTATGTAATTGCTAAAATAATGATAACAGGTTTTGGGGTTTTTTTTTTTTGTTTTGTTTTTGTTTTTTCCCAAAACACAGGCTATAAATTAGGGTTAAATACAATGTTCAGCTTGACTGCCTTCACTCACAGAGAAATGACAGCCACAGCAGCAGAGGCTTGA